TTCAAATAAACGACTCTTGGCCACTAAGTATTTGTGTTGGAATATTTTCAAAGCCTTTAGCAAATATGGCCTTCCATATTTATTGCTGGATGCAACTGGAACATATAGAGATTACTAACTCCCCTTTGTAACTCGAATTTTTTTTCATGCATCTTGATTATATAATTTCATTATTTTCTCTCAGATTGCTGGTTACCTGTATGGAGTGAGCCCACCTGACAACCCCCAGGTGAAGGAGATCCGCTGTATTGTAATGCCTCCACAGTGGGGCACACATCAGACTGTGCACCTGCCTATTTCACTACCTAACCAGGAATATCTTAAGGTAAAGTATACACTTCACCGTTGTACCTTGGAAACACATTGCCGGTTTGTCTCAGGACTTTTGGTGAACGTATCCATAAATAATGGGAATATTTTATCTTTACGGGGAGTTATAGCTAACTACAATTTTGTCTATTTGTGTATTGTAAGATAATTTACTTGATTGTATGCCAAGGAGAAGTGTTTATATTGTATTTTGATTGATCAGTGGACCTGATAACACAGGCACTAATATATATATATATATAATTTTCCTCCAGGAAATGGAGCCCTTGGGTTGGATCCACACTCAGCCTAATGAACTTCCCCAGCTGTCCCCACAGGACATCACAACCCATGCCAAGGTGATGTCTGATAACCCTGCCTGGGACGGAGAGAAGACCGTCATAATTACATGCAGGTATATGCAAATTCTTTGCCTAACAAAACTTACAGTGGTTCTTCCCATAGATAAGTATAAATCAGCCATCTGATGTTGTGACAGAATTATCCACCTTTTAGTTATCATTTTAATGAAAACATGAAATATGGGTTTTAGAAAGTGCCCAGTGATTGGATTGAAAGGCTTTTGAAATAACCAGTAAAGGTTTATAAAGCTGACATGTTATTGCCCCCTTTTCCTCTACAGCTTCACCCCTGGGTCCTGCTCCTTGACTGCCTACAAGTTGACCCCCAGTGGCTATGAGTGGGGCAGACAGAACACGGACAAAGGAAACAACCCCAAGGGATATCTACCATCACATTATGAGAAAGTGCAGATGTTGCTGTCTGATAGATTCCTAGGCTTTTTCATGGTACCTAGTGTTGGATCATGGAATTATAATTTCATGGGTAAGATTGCATTTGTTGCACATTTAATATTTGTATGAAATTGTGTATGCAAAATATTTTTACTTAGCCTGTGTATTATTACACATACTGAGTGAGAACTATTTATCTCATTCAGCAGAACAGAAAAATGCCAATTTCAATTTATTAATGAGTGCTGTAAGACAAAGCTTTCATTTTTTCTACTGAAATTATTTGATGGCATACTGTTCAGTAGAGTGAGTTAATTCTTCAATTTTCTTTATTTTTCAGGTGTCCGTCATGACCCCAACAAGAAGTATGAGTTACAGTTGGCTAACCCCAAAGAGTTTTACCATGAAGTGCACAGGCCATCCCATTTTCTGAACTTCAGCAGCATAGAGGAAGGAGAGTTCATGAACTCTGACAGAGAGGATATGTTTGCTTAGTTCACTCACCAAGTATTTTTGAAAAGGAAAAAATATCTTTAGATTGGCAAAAAATTATGGGTTGGACAACTTTTTATGAAGTAGAATTTGAGGACTTCATTAATTGCAGGTCACTTTAAACAAGGCCCTTGCATAGAACTGTAAATAAATGTTACAAAACAAAGATTTTTTAAAAGAAGTTTCATGTGAAGTAGATAAAATGGAAAGAACTTTGTGTCAAGACCAAAGAATCAAAATGTAAAATTGGAACATTGGCCTTCACTTGTCTTATCAGGCAAGTCACCTGGCTATGTATCTAAAGAAAGTTCCCTATCGCTGGATTACTGTTACAGATTCTCTTTTAGAAATAAAAAAAAACCTGTATTATTAAACTTGGAGCACAGACACATAGACTATTATCATGCTCTGAAAGGGAAATTCAGTGTAAATTGAATATTAAATATTAGAAATATGTAATGTAGCAGAAAGTAATAAATTTTGATTCTTAATTTTGCATTTGAAAAGTTGCAATCTATTAATTTTTATTTGTGTCGGTCATTACTAAAAATTTGAATTATAGTTTCTTCAAACAACTGAACACAAGTTATTACCATTGCAGTGTTTTACAATTTTAACATAGGGATAAATTGACGGATGTTCTAGAAGTCTACAGACACAATAATTAATTTAAACTGTCATAGGGTTGAAACAACAACAGAAGTATGTTAACCTCGAGCCAATAAATCTGGGCCCAGTTTAATCATCACTGGATGACACTTTTAACCACTGGAAAGCAATTTCAGTGACAAAAGCAAATATCTAGTATTTGGGGAAACGGTACTTTACCCACAGGATAAATGTCCAGAGTTTAAGAATTTTATCCATTGGATAGTGTCATCCATAGGGAAGTGCTGTCCCATTTTGAGGAAACTGGGCCCTGATGTCTGTGTCCCAGCAGATTCATTACATTTGCAACACGGATATTGCATCTCTTTCATGCCTTTGTATACCATAAAATTCAAAATGAGAATTCCAGTGAACAAGCTGCTTTTATTACACAAGCACGGTTATAAAGTAAACAATGTATGGCTGTGTGGTGACAGCTGTGTAGAATGTATACTCTTCAAAAAAGCATCAGAACAAAAATAAAAAATTTAATTCTTTATTAAGACAACTTATAAAATAAATCATTTTAAAATAAAAACAAACACCCTTGGGGACGTCAAGTTACAATATATTTCTTATTTACATCTGTCAGTTCATGCTGATTGTGGGAAAATAAACATAAGGGAGAACTTGGTTCAAAATTTTTTGTGGATATGTTAATTGGTATGGATCTGTTTATGCAGGGTTTGGCTTTTTAATATCTGTGTGTAACATGAAATGTGCTACACTATTCCTCAACAATCTGTTGACAGATCTAGGCTGGATATTCTACAAAAAGGGGATTGCTGCAACTTCCTTCTAGGCTTGGATACTACAGCCACAGGCAGTCTGGGGAAAATCCAACATGATCCCACACAATCCATCCCACATCCAGAGTGTAGCAAAGATTGCACATCACATTTTGGGCTTTGATGGCACCTACCAGTACACCTTTATACAATAAATAAAATGTGATGGACTGATATGGCCTTATGACTGTTGAGATGCAATCTTTAGTATGAAATAATTCCCATTTTACCATACTTTAGCAATAAATTCCTTTCTTTTCTCCTGTTTTCTAATCCTTCATTTGCCACTTTTTTATCTTACGAAGGTCCATTGTAACTTGACGCCCTGTATGTTCATCCCATCAGTCTTCCTGTTTCTCTAGACAGGTTCCTAGCAAATTATATTAACAGGGTTCAGTGATATTTCACTGATGACAGTAAATTCTAGGGACATAATGTTGACTGATTTGTTGTTTTGAGCAATGTTTGAGCAAAGAAAATTCCTTGATTTTTCCCTGATTTGAGGAACTTTTCTAAAACTCCCAGACTGGAAAAAAGGGAAATCATTGTCAAGATTTTTCCTGAATTCCAGGTGGGCTGGGAACCATGCTAGAGTTTAATTGGACACAATTTCCAAATTCATTCAATCATATTACAATCTATACCACTATATATCTATATATATATACTATCATATATCAAACATTAAAAGGTTCACTTTTCACAAGCTTTCTTTTAAGATTATTATACTGATAGCAAGAAATAAACCATTAAAACACATATAATCATATCATATCATATATGAAAACATATTAATACACATTTATTTCTCAAAATCACCCAAAAATATATTTTCTTTCCAAAGCATTCACCTAACATTAGGCCATTCAACATCCAATTAGCCCACTACCTTCTACACACTTAGTTCTCATTCACACATAAAAGCTTTTTTTTTAATTCAAGCATTTGTCATTAGCTACACATCTTGAGAAAAGTATGAGACAGTGTAACACTAAAGTAGGCTGAACATTTTCCTAAAGCAATAAAAAAGGAGATTACATTCTATTTAAGCTTTAAAAAAGGAGATTGCATTCTATTTAAGCTTTAAAAAAGGAGATTACATTAAAAATTTAAGCTTTTAATAAAATATATCTTACTCAATTCATTCTCATAATGTGTGATGTAAGAATTGAGACTCCTCCAGATAGATGCTGTTAAAAAAGGACCTAACATCTTTATATCACTATATAACTTATTACATTTATATCCATTATTTAAAGTAAATAATGCTCTTATATATTTATCTTTCATATTTGGTCAACATTTCACCAAAATACATCATAACTAGTGGTATTGGCACTGAACCACTCAGCCATATGCTTGACAATGACCTTTATGATGTAGGTCAAAATCAGCAATAAAAAGAACTTGTCCAAGGCCCACTAAAACTATACCTAGATCTAGACATTATTCTTAAGTTAGAGGATAAAGTTCTTGATGAAAGAACTCATCTAATGCCCCCATAGCTATATATGGTTGAGAGGTAAAAAGAGTAAATATGTTATAATGCTTTGAAGATTCTTAATGTTATTTTTAAGGCAGGCCTTAAACTGGCTGTGTTATAAAAGATCAAAAACGTTCAGTATAAATTCTAAAATAAACATCCCAGTAAAAGGCTGTCAAAATACGACTATCAAAAATAATTAGAGTCTCGTGTCATCAGATGTTTCATTTTCTGCTTCCTCTGGAATACTACTTTTGTCATTTGCCTGTTTACCAAAGTTTTCTGCGTCCTCAATCACTTCTGGTAGTTTCTTGTTTAATGTCTCTGGGAGAAGAAGAGTTAAAAGGCCAGCAAGCAGAGCCATCACTCCAAACAATACAAAGGGGAACGCCCTAAAGGTGTAGTCAGACTGAAAAAAAAAAAAAATAACAAAATAAACTTAAAACTATGAAAAATATTACTATTTATGCCACCTAATTAATATTTCAAAGTTGGATACTGGAAAAAATCTTAATTACAAATATTATATTCTTTTATTTAATAGGGTCCTTAAATATTAAAATTCAAAAGGATACATACCAGAAGCAACATTATTAAAATTTATTTCTAAAATTTGTTAACACTTACCAAGAGTAAGATGGGAGAAAATAACACTCCCCCTAGGCGAGTCCAGAATGCACATGTTCCAACTCCAATGTTCCTGAAATAACCATCATAAAACATTTTATACATCTATCTGCAGATTCCTATATAAATGTAGGTATTTCTTAAATTTTGAGTTGATTTGCAGGCCATTGCTTCTATGGCAGTGTTGGGTACAGAAAAGTATAGTTAAAGATCTCATCAGATAAATTTAAGAAGTTGTTTCCTTCTTGCTTCCAACATTTCAGTGTTTTGCTGATCATGTGGACATAACCAGGTGATGATAAAAATGAAAATAACAGAGATGTCTATCTTCACTCAATCTTTCTAACAAGAACAGTACATGTACAATTAATGAAGATCACTTTCTTTGTGAGAATGTGCAGATAGTATACCTTATAACTGTGGGATAGAGCTCTGATGTGAACAGTGGTATGACAGCAAAGCTGCCTGCACTACTGGCTCTTCCGATCAAGGCAAGTACAAGGGGAAGCCAGGAGATGTCAAGTCCATATCCTGAAACCAAAGGCCAAGATTGGTCAAAGCCAAATGTGAGACAGCCATGACATATGTACTAGATAGTTTTTAAAAACACAGTGATAATAAATATTCAATAAGAAACTCTTTTGGGATGCTGTCAACAGTTGGATATTTTTTCAAATATTTGCCCCAATACTTTCACACAAGTGTTTATTACTAAAGCTATGTTTTCATGCTAAAAATATTTGACAAGCATTGTTTTACTATTTACCTGTAACAGAAGGTACCAGTCTAACTGCTATACATGTCACACCACCCACAAAGAAGAACAACAGTAATATCTTCTTGCGACCAAAACTAAAGACAAAGAAATGGTAATTAGTTCATCCATGATATAAACCATACAGAACAGCATGAAAAGACTTTAAGATTAAAAGAAATTAAAAAGGCCTAAAAGAGACTTTAAAAATTTCTTTATACAAGTTATTTGACTCTCTAAACCAATAATACTTACCATTCAACTAAAAATATGGTAGCTATATATGCAGGTACCTCAACAAAACCACCAATCAAGAAGTTAAGACAGTAGTTGCCCGGTAATGCAGAAATGCCATATAACATTCCATAATAGTTCACTGCAATTGACAACCTAAGCAAACACCAGATAAGATAAAATGATAACAATGAATACAGATATGGCCTGACATAATGTTACTCGTTGCACTTACACAACCATGATGAAATAAATGAAGGATTCTACCTTTGCATCTAATACTAAAAACAATTATTTACAGATGCTCACTTCTGTAAAAACAAAAGCAAAATTCATACCAGATATAAAACAATAAGAATGTACGCTTCCTGAGCTTTGGAGTCTTGAACATATCCAAGATGGTGTAGTGTGTCACACTAGACCCATCCTCTTTTTTATGGACAGCAGCAAATTCATCACTAATTGAGGAGGTGATGTCGGTTTTATTGAAATTTGCAACTTTAATGAAAAATTGCTCTGCTAATTTGAATTTCTTCTTCTGAATCAGCCACCTTGGGGATTCTGGTATAATCCTGTGGAATGCAAAACAAAGGGTTTTAATAGACCTGTATTCTACAATACAAATAATACCTGAACAGTATCTATAGAAAACTAGGAAAGTCACTTAATGGTATTCTTATTCAAGCTGAATAATCATGAACAGAAAACAAAGATTGTGGAAACCAATGTACTTTACTTCAATAAAAACCTAGAATCCCACTGATCAATACTAGTGGTAATTTAACATTGAAGGTCACTACTTATGGAAACTTTTATTTTCAGAAACTTCACCACAGCAATAAATCAACTGAAATAATTAAAACAAAACAATGTTAATATAACTAAGAAAAAGCTATATTTAATTAAGTATCAATACCAAATGTACCACAAATATTTAATGATTATGTGTCTATTTGGAATGTAGTAACTTACAACCATCATAACTGAAAATCATTACCAAATATATCCAATGGCTAGCACAGGTGGAAGAGCAATGGCCAGTTGGATATAATGCCAGTCCTTGATAAAGCACTGAAGAACTCCTACTATTAGCACCCCAGAACCCCAGAACAGCTCTGTAATAAGGCCTGCCTTGGTACGATGGACTGGACGGAACATTTCCAAAATTAACACAAGTCCTGATGTTTGGAGTCCCTAATGAAAGAAGTATGTTGCTTGAGTGCCATGAAACCATGTGATGCAGAGATTTAGTAAGAGATGATGTGTATTCTTGTCCCATTTTACACTATTCTTATCCTTTTTTATTGTAGTATGCAGTGCAGTTTTCTAGACTTCTTTTGTCAGGGTGCATATATAATGACAGCTAAATCAGCTGACTATGAAATCATATTGGTTCAGGGAGAGAGAGAGAGAATGTAATCGGATACCATAATTTGGTTACTTTGGGCTTTGTTGTTTATGAGAACATGGAAGGTTCAGGATGCAAGGGGCCAAATTGAGCCCTCCGACTCTACATTGGGTACATTCTAGTTTCAAACACTGCTAAGTGGTTATTACAATACTAAAAAATTAACCCATGTCAAACTTATATCTTACCTGCATACAAACTCCCACAAAAAACCTCAGCACCACAAAAGCCACATATGACTGCACAAAGAATATCCCAACTCCAATTGCAACTGGGACAAACAGGGTTATCAGGAATACTGGCTTTCTGCCAATTAAGTCTGAGAGGGTACCAAATATAAGTCCTCCCAGCATAACCCCACAGAAGTAGATGGTTGTTGCCAAACTGACCAGGGGCTTGTTATCACACACCAGATCAAACTAAAATTTACAAAACATTTGCTCAATTTAACAAAGAAAAAATATTTTCAAGAACTTATCTCTTTTTTTAGTACTTTAACAGAAAAGTTTAATAATAAATATAAGAAATAATAATGTTCATATTCATTTATTTGATATTTATATTTTTACACAGAATAAGAACAATAACCTACATCTGCAACAAAATTGGTTTCTCCAGGCTCTAGGGTGTATGTCCATCCATCTGAGCAACCTTGTGTTGGAACTGTTTCATTTCCATAAACCTGGGTGAAATTTTCATACACCTTGCAGCTGCTGGGCTTTCCTTTTTCAAGGGGAATGCTTCTGTTCACAAAGTTCCCCTTTGGAAGGGTGCAGTGGTGGGGTGGTGGCCGCCCATAGACTGCCATGATAACGTGGTTGAAGATCACAATCCAGTAGGTCATACAGATGAGAATGTAGATGAAAACATGGTACCGACCTGGTTGACCCAACTTTTCCAACAACTTGTCCACCTGGATAGTCCCTGTGGACACCATCTTCCCTGACATTCTGAGAAAGTTTAAGAAAAAAAAAAAAAAGAAAGACAATATTCTTTGCTATAGCAGGGCTTGGCAAATACACATTTCTTTATTTTGGAAGATATTAATCTACGTGTATTAATGACAACCCACTGTAAAAGAAATCTGCGGAAACATTTACCTTCAATTAATCTTGCTTTAGTTGAAGTGATTTTGACACCCTTTAAATGGATCATGCAAGTTTTTTTCCATGCCTATATACCCAATTTCACAGACCACACCAGTTTAAAATGTGTGGATCAGTAGTAATCTTCAGGTTCCCTTTGTTGCAATTCTTTTCATACTGGTCATAATAATGGGCTTGGAAATAACATATACTGTTAGCATAGAGGGTAACATAAGCTAGGTCATATGATTGTCACAATGGAACCTGTTCTGGGGGCATTCCATTAAAATAGGGAACACGTGTCAAGTTAGTGATACACAGTTTGAGTAATATTTGCATGACTCCCATTTGCCCTTATATTTATTTTGCAGATTTATCCAATAGCACCTTTAATAAGGAAATAAATTAACAGTAATTTGTGTAACAGAAGGTAATATAACAGAAAATATGCCCATCACCAACTTGAAATGACCTCTCAGTTGTTTTGGTCTTTTATACACTTTTGTTGTAATGTATAATAAATGCCATCTCACATTCCCATTTCATTGTAACACAGAATGTTCTTATATGACCTTTTTAGTTTAGGAAGCTAAAGATGCAAGGCATCCATTACCATATATACTGGCAGAACAACCAAATACTATTACAAACCCTTACTTGAGTGTCCATCCTAACCCCAGTTCCGATGGTCCCAGGAAACTCGCTGTTCTATTACCTGTGTGAAAAGCACCATCTGATTTGACTATACTTTTCCCAACAAGTAGTGGGGTGAAAAAATAGTGTTCCTATCCTGTGTTTGGCTCCCTCTACTTTTCTTGTGGACTTTCAGACCTCAAAGAATCCATATAAGAAACAATAACAAATTCTTCAACATTGCACCTCTCTAGGAAAGTGTGAGATCCAAATCAGAGATTTTTGCAAATGATGCAAATTCAGACGACCCCTTGCAAGAAAAAAAAAAGACAGGATGCAAGCAGAATATATGTGAAATGACAATTCTTCCATGACCAAATGGCCAGTAAGAATCGTATAATAAACCATTACGTAACAAGGCAAATTTTCTAATGAACAATAGGAAAACTTAGTTGATTTCACAAATCCCTGCTTGTTGGCAACAGGAGGACTGTTCATTCATCTGCAGAAACCACTTTTCTGTCTTTTCTAACTGGCATTTGATAAATATTAGACAATTCTTGCCATACACATATATCACACTGGACCATCCCTGCCAGAGCAAAGAGAACTAAAATAGCCTCCATAAAGTAGTAAAGCCGTTTGTGGAAAAAGCAGATGCAGATGATGACTAATCCCACAGCTCTTCACCCCTAATTATAACAACTGGTGAGCAAAACACACCCTTCTAACACTTGAACTTCAGTTATGATCTTGACCAGAACTTAAGTTTTTGACAACATGTATATTTTGCACCCATAAGGCATCTGTCTTTTGGGAAAAGCTGCATATATTCAAAGGGGGATATTCCATTGTTAAAAGAGGAAAATGGAAAAATGTGGTTTCTCAGCTTCTTGAAATAACAGCACAGAAACTATATGCAGAGGAACTGCACTTTGTGCACACAATTTATCAATTGACATTTGCAAGAAACAGCCAGCAGAATCCTTCAAAAACCTCAACAGGGTGCCAAGTGGTCAATAAACATTTTCAGAGAAAGTAGAATGTGTCCAATTTTAAACCTACAAGATAAAAAGAGATTAATTCCCACCCTGGAGGAAGAAAATTTGGGAAAAATAGGTTATTGCCTGTCATGACTCAGATCTGAAATAAAACACCAGGATGGTTCAAACTGTTCACCAGGTGAGTTTTTGAATGTTGTTTATAAAAATTAATTGGGGTGGGCCTTCAATATGACACACATTGCATGCATTTATAAATTTGCCATTTTGAAATAATAATAATAATAATAATAATAACATTTCAGTACAGAAAAGTATGAGTACTATATAAAAGTATGCTCTATTTTCAGAATGATACATGAGGAATGAATGTTATCGAAGGGAAGTGCAAGTACTGCAAAAGGATGACCTCTTTTTCAAATGTTTTTGCAAAGCCTTAGGCTTCGTTCACATGCAATGTCTATTTTCTAAATTCTATTTTTTATTCGCGGTATATCTTATGATCACGCTCTGTGCCCTGAATATCCTGCGGCGTAATTACTGGCGGCGCGAGCCAGTAACTATAAGTTACTATAAGTAACTGGCTCGCGCTGCCAGTAATTACGCGGCGGGATATTCAGGGTACAAACCGTGATCATAAGATAGCGCGAATAGAAAATAGAATTTAGAAAATAGACATTGCATGTGAACGAGGCCTTATATGCACAACAACGTCCTTATTTAAGCAAAGGGTTGGGACAATCATGAAACAGGCTGATACAGACATGCAAGGAAACAAAGATGAATGAACAAACCATCATAATAAACATAGTAGCCCTCTACCCTCTGTGGTGGCAGACATTATAGGCACATTTTCCACATTTCCAGAGAAGAACAGAGAACCAAATGACCATCCATTTATCAAAAGACATGTCTGTGAATATCTAGTGAAAAATCAATCTATGGCCCTGGTATCGGTCCTCTCATTGGTGTTTATTCCCACCAAATTAGAACTTGCATTAGTAGGGGCAGGAATTTTAAATATGGAAAGTACAAAAATTACCGGACACAGCAGTAAGGTGACCTACTGCACACAGCCTTATGAAGATGCTTTTGATAAACACAAAGAAGAAATATAGGCACTCTTTTGATGTCATGAGATTATACAAAAGACTTTCTGTCGAGTTGGGGCAAAATGTCAGAGACACATAACAGCCCATAGACCACAATCCCACCCAGCCACTTTAGCCAGTGACAAAGAACTGGACAGAGAAGTCTTGGTTCATCTTGATGAAGAGGGTTGTGAAGACATAGTAGGAAAAGTCCCAATCTTCAACTGGAACATTGGTTCATCACCTTCATCCAGACTTAGTTAAAATTATATGGTGAAGGTTATAAAAAATCACACCTGTGACATGTAAAGTAACTATAGTTATAATTACAGCAAGCTCTGTTTGTTCTTATATCTAAGAGTATGCTCAATTGGACATTTTTTTCATATTTTTCCAGCACGATCAGCAAAGTTCATAAGCTGATAAGTCCAGAAACTCCAAAGTACCATTATATTACATCATGAATTGTGTGCATTGGTGTATGGAACTAATTCATGGATGACGTGACTTTACACAGACTGAAGCATAACACAGCCTGTCTTTTGACAGTAGAGTGCTTTAAAGTTAATAAACTGGTGAAGTTAAAAGGTTAAAAAGCATAAATGACATTCATGAATTATTTGCTAAAGGCAGAAACAGGAAGAAAACCAATATTAGACATAGATCAAGCAGGATTATCTCATGAAGTGTATTCACAAATAGTTATTGTTATAGGGTTGGAGGTCTCACATGCAGTGAAATAAACCTAATAATGAAAGTAATGTAAAAAACTATATAATTACTCTTCAAAAACTAAAATTCTTCTTGATAAAGTTAGTGCATGAGGTTATACCACAAGAAATATATGAACATGCAATTACCACAGTGAAACCAAATTTGCTCAATTCTATCCAAAACCACACCAATCTTTAATCTATCAACTGATAACATGACACATTTCACTCCAGAGTCAAAAAGAAATAAAAAAAAGGGAGAATATACAGAAAAGCATCAATTTCCTGTCCTCAGGTGCATTCAGAACATGTCTATTTTGAACCCAAAAAATCCAACTGAAGTAACTAGGCAAAGGGATCACCTCTGCAACTTAAAATAGTAAATACCAGCCCATGTTAAATATGTGATAAGAGATTAAATAAGACTTGCTCTGAATGTACTTAGTGCAAATAATGTGTTTTGATTCAAAATAGCAAGATAAACAATATTACACAAGATATTGAACAACTTACAGTTTTCTTCCCTCCATTGTTGTACGCTTTCAAAGCAAAAAAAGATTGCCATTGTATGTATGTGACATTTTATTGAAAGAAAACTTTCTAAATGGTCTCACATCATTGCAGAAAATGGAGTAAACTGCAGAGTGTCTTTCTCTCCATCTTAATCAATACACGAACAATACATGGCATAAATCAACGGGGAATTTTAAATTGAGAAAATGTGTCATATTGTTGAACATTATATCAGATTATATTTACTAGTAAATGGTGTCTTACATAGTGTCTTAAATACAAAACATTTCTATTCCCAGTTAATTTACAATTCCAGAAAAATGTGTGTGTGTGTGTGTGTGTGTGTGTGTGTGTGTGTAGCTCAGGGAAGGTAAATATATCTCAAAATATATACGCCAACAATGACACATTTTAACAATGCTAACAGAAACTTTTATGTGTTTTGACATTTCTTTGCTTGGGCAAAATTTTAACTCTAGCCATTCTGGCTCTTTTCTTAAACTGTCTCCATGGGCCTGTATTGAAAAATGACTGAAGGCAAAAACAGAAAAGTTGCTATGAAATTTAACCTACTAAACTGAATTTCACACAGAATCAAAAACATGGCTCTTAAAAGATCATTGCAGTTTATGGCTTGGGGTCACTAGTTACTGATCTTAGATCACTGAATTATGACTTCGAATTGAATATTCCCATTTTATCAATTCTCACCAAACTGTGAGCTTTTGGTTGGCTTTCAACCAACTCGCACATAATTTAATATATATGCATACATTCTCTAACATGAAAGTGTTGAAAGACCAGACTTAAAGTTCAGTCAAAAAGGCAATGCTTGGAGTCAGTATTGATTTAATCCAATACTAAATTACAGTTCCAAGTCATTAATTGGACAATCAAAGTCACTAATTCTATTATCAAAGTCACTAATGGAAACTTTGTATAAGGCCAGTTAAGGTAACTTACCTTTTTTATTTTCTAGAAAACCGTTCACCTTCTTTAAAACAGGAAAAAACTTAGCTGATCACTGAAACAAAGAAACTAAGAGTCAATACAAAATCTATTCCTATCCGAAATTTCTTTTATTGCATATTCAGTCCCTTTGGCTTTCACAACAGATGATCCATGGACTAACTGATCTGTAGACTAAATATGGTCAACCTCACTTAAAAGTAATGCCACCTTATCCCCTAACGATCTCCCCACATCTGCAAGCGCCATCCCTGCAGGATCCTAGCAACAGACGATTTTCATCTTTTGTGAAAATGAGAAGTGGTCACTGTAGTCCTCTTCTGTTTACAGCGAGGCAGTGCTATGTGAAGGTGACATACCTGGTGCTGGTATAAAAAAGGTGTTTGTAGCATGCACAGTGCCATGATTAAAAAGGTGGCTGAAGCACAGAAATGCGTCAACTACATGAAAGAAGAAGAATTATTTGGATGTTGAATCAAGCAAATAAATGTTTCCTTTCCCAGTATAAATGTAGTGTGCTGTACAACTTGACATCACTGAGCCTTGGTTGTGTTCTTTAGTGATGACGGTCTTTACCTTCAGAGTTCTTTAAAATGCTTTTGGCCATGAAGATATACATGTATGTAAGAGACACATTATATTTGATATAAAACAAAAGTAGTCAGCAAACACATACACAGTTTTGTCTGGTTTATGGACAGGCACATGTCTAATACAAGGTGTGGCAACATCATTTCATTTACTATCATGTGTTCATGTAGTATCAATTATTTATGTTTTCATATGTTTTATTTGAGGGATATCTTGAGAAATTTTTGAAAAAAATAAGAATTTCCTGTATTTGTACACACTGTGTAAACGTAGTGCCCTGTTCTTAGCCCAAGAGTTCCCTTACTTTCCAGCTCTACCTATGTTGTCAACCCATATTTTTCATTCTGACGGGTCCATTGGGAACTTTAAAAGTCCCCAAGTGTCAACCTCTCAGACTCTTATTGTAATTGTAGCAGTGGGACACACAGCACATAACTGGGGGCATAGTTCTTAGCACTGCTACTAGTGTTTCGACATGACAAGGAATCACTTTTCCACAATGCAACTTCCTTATGGAGAAGATGAAAATGGTGTTTGTAGCATGCACAGAATATATGTATATAAACAGGGCAATTAAAAAGCGTGTATTTCTGCGTGGATGAGCATAGTTTACTATATAAATTATTCTTTTAATATTTGTATTAGTTAGAGAGCCTGTAAATGTAAACTATTTCTTTGTGCTCAATAAACCATTATTATTGTTATTTATTTATAAATTATTATTAAATATCTAATTAACCATCCATTAAGTGACTAAGCTTGAATGATTTTTTATGATAACGTTATACAGTCATAACAACACCTTTTAACGTGTCTTTCTTATGTGTTACTTTAATAATAAACAAGAGATGTTTGTAAAACCCAGATACCCCCAGTAAGTCAAATAGTTGACAAAGTTTTAGAGTTGAACATTACTGTCATGTTGACCTTTGACCTACTGACCTCTAAATGGAAGGGGGTCATCTAAATGTGAGGAATAATCTCCCTACCAAATAGTTCTCAATTTATCGGTTGGCCAATGTCTGGTTATGGACTGACTGACCTAGTAGCATGTGCAAAGCAATTCTGTTTGCCCCCACTGCTTTGAAGGGAGGCACGAGGAGACAAAACCAAGCTGATTCTTTCCATCTTTGTGCGCAATATTTAACAGTAAAACTGTCTCCTATTTTATTAGTGGTGGTCCCACAGTTTGAGGGGACTTTCTGAGAGGTGTTTGTGAGTCTTCATAAGGCTAAATAGCCCAATTCTGGACTTGCATTTGCCTCTGGCACATCTGACACTGGAAGTCTAGGATGGCAGGCAGGGACTATTTTCTGTGCACATGCTCTCTGGCTGCCTTTGTTGTCTCATGTCTATCCTCTTAAAAAGACTGTGCTGACCGTCAAGTAATGACTGCAAAACCACCAGCAGTGTCACCTGTATTGACAGTTCTCTGAAGATGTCCTTGTAATAAAGGACAAAATGTCAGTCTCTGTAGCAGATCTATGTGGTGTCAAGTTTTAGAGTTGCCTCTTCAAAAAACCTTTGTGATTTGTTTACAGTTAAGTGCCATTAATTAATCTTGGTCTCAAGCTTTGGTGGGAAGTTCAGAAGAGGTGAAAGTGCACCATTTCTAGTTTGCTTAAAGATTGTCTTTGTATGTGTAACTACAGGCAACAACACAGAAAAACAAACTGTGTAGAAGGAGATTGAAGTGAGAGAACCAATGCATATGGGTAATCCCACTCTTTTGGCCATAGAAACCAAGAAGGAGTAGAAAGATATATTTAATATTTCCCCAGAGAAGAGTGAAATATTTTAAACCTTGTAACCCCACCCCCGGCTTTGTATAAGCCTGGGTCAACTACAGAGTGGATCAATGCATTTGGTAAGATTTTGTACAGAGTGAAAATCGTAAACTAAAACAAATGTCTGTTTGAATTATGTACCTGCAGGTGAAAGTGGGTTTTATTATAAAAACCATTTTGAGGAACAAGAGATCAACAGTGGTTGATAGCAATCCAAATTCCAGTCAAATGCCATTTTGGTGTATATGAATTACATTGCTTTTCCATTACATGGCTGGTAATATGATCTGGAGACCTGACACAAATTGAAATTGCCTTGACACGTGCAAATGCATGACAACTATCCCATTAGGGGGAGGGGATCCAGGGGGAGGGGTCCTCAGGTTTTTGGAAACTGGTCAGAATTTTTCATGAATATCTTGGCATGCCTCCACTAGTTATATAGTTTTCAGCTAAACACATATTCCAAAGGACAGTGTAACGTTTCCAAAAGGCAAGTCAGGTAGCTGCTGTACCTAATTGCAATTGATCCTCTACCTGAATATGCTTGTGAACAGCTTGTTATAAGCCAATGGCATACATGGTTTGACTTGTCAACTGTTGAGCTTGACTGACAGGCAACCTGAGAAATGCACCCACAGGCAACAAATTTTAAAATTGGTGTTACACAGTGATGTAGGTGGAAATTATAACAGTATTTTAAATTTTGAGCAGTGCTTAGTATCCTCAAGTATCTGTATCTGTCAATATACCTCTAAAGGACCACTACTGCTATATAATAGACAGGAAGAGGGAGCGCATGGGAAGCTTACAAGGCAACCTGAGAAATGCACCCACAGGCAACAAATTTTAAAATTGGTGTTACACAGTGATGTAGGTGGAAATTATAACAGTATTTTAAATTTTGAGCAGTGCTTAGTATCCTGAAGTATCTGTATCTGTCAATATACCTCTAAAGGACCACTACTGCTATATAATAGACAGGAAGAGGGAGCGCATGGGAAGCTTACAAGTTAGTCACACTGTAAGCCTAATCTGAAGCCTTCCGCAGTTTGTACTGTAACTTGTTGGTCACTCAGTTTGTTCCACTTGAAGACTGTTCTGATAAAGAAAAAAATTTCTAACTGGCGTATTTCAGTGTTGCAAACAGTAACAGCGACTGTTGTTTATTCCATTTATAATGTTTTCAGTGTCAAAGTCAGTGAATGATCTGGCCCTTACACGACGCTTGTCAGAAGCTGGTATTAAATAAGTATCAGAAGGTACCGCTGGTACCAACCCCTTAACCACCTTGAAAAGAAAAGTTAGCCACAGTTCCTTCTTCCGGTACTGCAGAAGAGGGAGATCCAGTGATTTTAACATGGAGGTAACACTATTTGGGGACCTTGACTTATAATCCACAGTGATAAAATGTGCAGCCTTCCTTTGAATTTATTCCATTTTGTTCATGTCCGATTGTAAGTAGGGGTCTCATATGATGGCATCGTACTCCAAAGTAGAGCGGAGGAGGGCTATGTATGCTTACTTTCGTGTGAGTGCTTGGCTATAGCATAGGTTCCTTCTTTAGAATGAATCCTAATGTACTGCTGGCTTTTTTACACAAGTTATTGTGAATCAACCATTTCAGGTCAGAAGAGAGAATGACTCCTAAGTATGGATTTGTCTGAACACTTTTAAGTACTGTTATATTGTTTTTGGTAGACAAGGTGCATTGACACACACACACATACCACAACAATGTACCCTGGGATGTTTTTGGTGGGTGAATTGGATTGAAGGTGATTTGGTTTCTGTATCTATTCATTTTCAATTTTGGGTACACACCAGAGCTTTTGTCTTCTTGTGCACTTCTATATGTTATGTCTATGGTTTTATATGTCATCCTTCTCCATCCTTTCGCCAGTGCAGCTCTAAACACTATGACAGTGGTGTGGCTGGCAGTTATGAAGTCATCTGCCCCTTTCATTCCAGGCATGCGCAATGGGGGACATATCTGGTCTAAAGAAGAAAAGTCTGGATCTGCTCCTGCTTCTGGTTTGCTTGTGCTCTCCTGGCAGTATGGAGATAGGCGTTATCCTACTGAAGCATATGTAGGATTGGGTGTTGATGTATGAATGGCATAATCACCAACAATTCTGCCTGGAAATTGCCAATTGTGCCTGCCCTAACCATATGTTATAACACTTTGCCAAAGGTAATGGCCAATGGCACGAAGCCATGCCATGACGTCAGCATGGAATTCAGTCTTTGACTGGGTTCCCATACCTAGATCGATCTAACAGGATCGATCCACCTCCAAGGGGTTTCTCGTTAAATGGCTTTCAGCTTCAGCGGCTTAGATGTCTGGCATACTAACTGAAGCTGCTAAACGATAATTAATTACTCCCTAGCAGCTTCAGTAGGTGTGACAGACATGTAAGCTGCTTAAGTTAATTGCAATTTAATGAGATAGGGAGATAGTGAGATCAATCCACAGTTAATACAATAGGGTTTGGGAATGGTCTCTTAGTCTATAAGGTGTCCCACAATATCATTTTAAACCATTTCCATAACTGCGAGTGTAATTTATGTTTATACATTTAGATATTAGATAGTCGATTCATTGCTGCTCTACAGGCCAATTAATTCCTTTTTCGTCTCTGTTTTGAAAGATAATAGAACAGAAGAGCTTTTTTCCTTCGATCGCCTTCAGCCGCCATGCTTTCTTCACCACGAGTTTAACTGATGAGCATGCGCACTTAATATTTCTCAGGTAGCTTCTGCATGGCGAACGGAGCCGAGATTTAATTACTGTACCCCGCAGGGACGACGTGTGGGGAGGCGTGTGAGAGGCGGAGAGACTATTAAAAGATTAGGCGGTTTTTCTTTCATGTACGTCCGCCATTTTTAGTTCTCAGGATTTGTAAAGCCTGGCTCAATTCGTTGAGAATGCGGTCTAACATGTGCTCTTCCAACTTTCCTATAATAGTAACAGTCAAGGTTACAAGAGAGTAGGCGTCAATTTGACTGCTCCTATTGGCTAGGCAACTTACCACATTGATAGGGAAAAAAGTTCCAGTCTAAATCTTCAAACCATGACATGACATGTAAGGAAAATAAATTTAGAGGACTTAAAAGTAACTTTGGGACATTTGGGATTAATATTAATAATACTCCAAATGTTTCACACTTGCAAATTGGAATAGCAAGTTCACTTGTAAGTGTATTTTTCACCCAGACCTTATGCACTTTTGGACAACTGAATTTTCTTACCCCTGTGAAGTTGATTCCTGGTTCCTTATTCCTTATTCGGTTACTTATTCAAATGTGAAGTTGGTTACTTATTCCCGGTTCCTTATTCGGTTACTTGTTCAACTTTTTTATGTTTTTTTATGATTTTGATGCTAAAATACCTGTTTCATCATACTAGCACCCCCTCTTCATCTAGATGACACCCTAAAATTGTTAAATATACCACTAAAAACACAAAATATAACCCATTCCTTATTCAAAAGTCCTGTTACTTATTCGGTTACTTATTCCTTATTCGGTTACTTATTNCCAATCAAGGTGACAGCCGAGCATGCCAGGGCTCATCCTGTCGGTGTTCTGGCTGATACTACGAAATGTGATCTGGTACACACCTTGAAAACGGGTAGTGTGGTCCGATATACCGGTTAATTCAGGATCCTTAGGTGCCGAGTCTGGTAGTTGGTTAGGCCTGCTGTAAGGAAAGTAAATTTAGAGGACTCAAAAGTAACTTTGGGACATTTGGGATTAATATTAATAACACTCCAAATGTTTTACACTTGTAAAATAGAATAACAAGTTCACTTGTAAATGTATTTTTCACCCAGACCTTATGCACTTTTGGACAACTGAATTTTCTTTTATGCAAGACTTTTGTCCTAGAGACCATTCCCAGACCCTTTCATACTAACTGTGGATCGATCTATCTCCAAGGGCATTCTCGCTAAACTGCTATCAACTAAAGCAGCTTAGATGTCTGTCACGCCTGCTGAAGCTGCTAGGGGGTAATTACTTAACGTTTAGCAGCTTCAGTAAGCATGTCAGACATCATAACCACTTAAGCTGAAAGCAATTAAGCAAGAAACCCCTTGGAGATGGATTGATCCTGTTAGATCAATATACGTATGGGAACCCAGTATTAAACTGTGTGCAGATGAGATGTATGCAAACCTAAAGCTAGCCATTGTCTGAATTCACTCAAGTGTATCAGTCCTCTACTGTAGAACTGAGATGGTGTTCTGACACTGAATACAGTGGCCAAACTAACGTGCATGTTTGGGCATTTTGAAGCACTGTGCTCTAAACAAAACATTGTGTTTCTTTCTTTGGCCAGTATATATTAATATAGTCATTATGGTCATTAAGGTGACATTGTAGTGCGTGATCAGCAGTCATGACAGAATTGTAATATGCATACTAACTTACAACAGATCAACCAAAAATAAAAAATTCAAAAGTGTATCTTTAATTATTTCAAATCTTTAAAAAGTAGCTAGACTACAAATGCATTTTAATTTGATAAAGTAAAATTTGACAATCGGTTAAATCTAAGATCAATCTAATAATTACAAGAAATACCATATCTATAATGTCTATAATTGGCCATGACTAGTCATATTTCATAGTCATTTGGAAGCCTGTCAGAAACAAGTCCGGGATTCACCCCTTTATTTATAGTGCTGCAGAGTCAATAAATGGTGGAATATTGCTTCACAAGCAATATACTACAAAACCTCACCTGTGTTGAGCCTTGATAAGTTTGTCAAATGTTTTAAGAATCGTAAATGCTTCATAGATGATTCAGCAGTTCTTATCTTATAAACACATCCCTATATTATCTCACTGCACTACACACTAATGGTATGCACTATCAGCTGAGACCTTACTCAACAGATGCTGAAAGACGTTTTCCACACATGTGGACTATTCGCCTAACGAATTATTATAAAATATCAAGACCTTTTTTCTTTTTACTTTCGTTGATGCAAATAATCCAATGTCATGCAGTTAGTCAAAGTTAAATGGGTAGACATCAAATAGCCCCAAGATTTAGGTCTCCAATTTCTCCCATAAACACGCAGCAGAAGCGCACTGCAGATATAAACCGCTTGCTGTGAAGACCAAGGACTTTCGCCCATGCTAACACACACATGAAGCTTACCTTATACTTCCGCTGTGAAGCGACAGATAATGAACTCGCTCGAAATCCGGCAGTGTTTAAAATGGATTATAGTAAACAAAGGGAGGTGCCTATAGCTCGGCTTTCATTGGGGATGAGTTCAGGCTTAGTTCAAGGACAACACGCAAGCAGCACAAACAGTCCACCTTATGTTTAATTAAGCTTGTAGGTTGTTTGAATCGAGATAAAACTTCCACTGCCAGTGCATGTGCATAAAAATGTTAAAAAAACCCTTTTCAAAGAGTGCAATGTTTTCGGAGCGTCCGACTTTCGTTGGTTCAGAAGTTATCACAATGCTGGTGGTCGGGCCCTTCATCCCTTTTTGTAAGGCGCAGCCATTCTTCGAAGTCCCGGATATTATAAACACTCCTTGTGTTAGCTACGCATGTCTTGATGACGCACAAGATCCCAAATGGGCTTTTCGCGGTTTTAGTGTGGCGTGCACTGATGCAGTGAAATCATTGGTCGGACAAGCCCGGGCGGAACAGGTGGCCCGGACCAAGACTAATACAAAGCGCTTATTAGCTATGCAATGAGCATTGGCCTGTGCTTTGTGATTGGATAACTCTGGCGGGCAGACGTCATTTGCGTCATGCATAATTTTAGTAGGTTATCGAGTTACTGTCCGACATTTTGTTGGAAGTGAAGTGTGGAAGCCGTCTTGTACCAAAGTTGATAGACCAGAATTTGAACACGTGTGGAGATGAAAACTTTATCTTGAAGGAACAAAGAAAGGCAAGTATTTCTCACGTGGTCGGGAAACGTTACTGAGCCCTATGTTAAGGCAGATTTTATGTTGGGAATAACAGCCCATGCTTTCCATTAATATCTCTGTATTATTTATGTGAGGAATAAGTGAGAAGTTAAGCACTAGTTCAAGCAAGTATTGGGATTTAAAGTCCTTGCATGAGGTCTTCATTTTGCAGGCAATGATGTTGATATCTGCAGACAGTCCAGGTTTTACTAAGTTTCTTTGTGTAATGCAATTGGTAACTCATTTTGATGAAGGTCATTTGTTCATTTTTATTGCATGCATATCTCTGAGTAGTTCTAGTTCCCTTCTGGATAGCAATGGTTGTGCACTCTAATTATTATAACACAACCATTTTAGACATAATGGTTTAGAAGTGTCTGGTTCTCACATGTTGATCATGACAGAGAACAATTTCCTATTTGTAACTTTTCTTGACACAAAGCATTCTGCAGCATGTGACGGCGTGAAGTGCACAGCTGCCTTTTCTTTCTCATAGTGTTGTGCAGACAAATTAATTAACATATTCACTCAAACACTGGGGTAGACTGTCAAGAACACTTGAACGTATTTTTAATAGGTAAAGACATTTAACAATTTGAAGCTGTGAAATGGAAATTGAAATGAGGAGGTGTAAAACCTCTGGGTTTTCCTTCTCTGTAAGCATTTTGTGGCTTTAATGAGATGCTTTTTGACATATCAGTCTTACAGACAGGTGTTTTGTGGAAGGAAGAGTTGATTGCTGGGAAGATCATACTAGCTTATATATTTAAAAATACTCTTAACATTCCTTAGAACAAACCTAATGTGAAAACAGTTTAAACAAAGCCTGGACCACTTTTAAATATGCATATTAAATATTCATAATAAAGATTAACTCTTTGAATGTCTTCACTCAAATAATAATAATAATAGTAATAATACATATATCCAAACCATCATGGAAGGAGCACATTTCCTTCAAAATACTCTTCAGTTAACATAACATTATTATTCGTTCAACACAGCTATACCCATGGTTAAAATATTAACCACGGGCATTCTTGTGAACATGACCTCCTTGTCACAGTAAGGGAGTGTTCCCATAAACTCATTGTACAGGGTGGATCTATCTGACTCTGCAAGAATTCTTGCTAAATTGCATTCAGTGTAAGCAGCTGGCACATCTACTCAGGCTGTTAGGGGGTAATTAACATTAGTCAATTACTCCCTAGCTATGTAAGGGGGCATGCCAGACTGTTAAGCTGATTACACTGAAAGCACTTTAGCGAGAAGCCCCGCAGAGTTAGATCAATCCAGCTAGTATGATGGGTTTATGGGATCACAGTCTAAGTATGCATGAAGGAGTGGACCAACAGTATAAAAGCCATGCCCTGTGTGTAACAGCCTATGAAGTTGAAGGCAACTGATCTTTAATTGCCAATCCCTGGACTTCATTTTTATAGCCAGTTAGTTGCAAGTCATGAAACACTTCAGAGTTTTGTGCTGGTCAAGCATTGATTGTCCACCTTCTAGCACATGATACATGAAAGTTTGAACTCATTCAGAGGTGGAGTGAAGCAAAAAAAATTTTTTCTTTTGTCTTCTGTATGTAGTCCTCATACACTTGTTTTGATTCATATAACAGCTACAGTTATTGTCTAAGTAATTTGATTCATCAGGATTTACTTTTGACGTATTTCTTAGATTGATCAATGGACCACCGAAGACATGATTTGAGAATATCTTACATTTGTTCAGTGAGCTGGTACAGGCAATATAATACACAACTATACTGATAATACATGAAAAATTCTTTGTGCTATTGTATGTTCAATATTTTCAGTTTATGCAGTAATGCAGGTGGAGGAAATGTGTTCTGCACCCAGATGCTTTTACAATTATCTAAAATCTGCCAGTACACAGGTCATTCTAATACTTATTTTCTGCTTGTCTCTAATCTGAAAAATTTGAGCAAAATGTTGAGTTGGATAGTTAGAAGAAATATCCCATTGGGTGACTTAATCAGTTGCCATACAATTTTCAATATTGTTCAAAGAAGTTGTACAACTACAACTTCTTGATTTAAATTTCTCAGAATTGGAGGATATGGTTTCCTACATCCAGTGGCCTCATTTTGGTTGGACCAAACAATGCATATATAACACCTTATCTAGAACTTCCTTTGGTGTACTGTATGTCTAATCTGGCTCCAGGGGAATGGTACAGACCCTCTGTGTGGATACAGTTTTGATATAGGAGACTTTTATTTATATAATATCTTAAATTTCATGAGAGTCACATGAGAAGAATCTGTTCTGTTTTTCTTGTTTGTTAAGAGCGAATTTATTATCCATAATAGATTGAACATAATATCCAACATGCTATGGGATTGACTGTGAACAAGTGCTGTTGCTCAAGTCATTTCCATGTGTTCTAGATGATTCATATGCTTCATGCAGGGTCAGAAATAAGAGGCTACACTAGCAGTCTTTGTTGGGTTGTTGTCAACTTTACAGAGGTCTAACCATATAAATGTGTGGTTATGGTATAGCCTAAGGCCACCAGAGACTCATAAGTCCAATTCAGAATCTACTTTCAGGTGGCTGGTGATTGATCCGAGCATATTTTCTGCCCTTTCTGAACACAAGCTGGTCCTGACCCAATTTTCTAGTAGTTAGATCAGTTGACCTGTGTAAACAAAGTACAGTTTGTCCATAAAGATATAGGCAACGAATGATCACATTGGGACCATTTTCATCTCATTCTGCCCTCATTGTCATTCTTCTGTCTTCCCATAGTTAACATAATAAGAATGGTTATTGATTAATTTGTAGTGCAAAGACTGTCAAATAATACAACTCTGTGAAAGTATTTTTTTATCTAGCTGGTTGTGGTTGAAACCTTCTATATAAGCCATCTCAAAACCATGCGTGTATTCTCAAGTGCTTCTATATTTTGATCAATAATTCACTTCTTCGTTGAACTGAGTGAAACCTAGTATAAAGTCCAATTATTTAATCATTTCTGCCAGGTAACATCCAAGTCAACTAGATAAGGGTTGCAGGGAGAGCAAAAATGGGCACCCAAGACTAATGACATTAACCTGTTTATAAATATTTCTACATTAGCAATAGTCATTTGGATAAAAATAGTTGCCACCCTGTTTGCTTAACTAATTTTATGGCTGTGGTTTACGTGACTGCTGTGAAGTTGGAATCTGTGACTATGTTGATAATCTAGTCAACAGTGCCCAAAGCCCATGTTTTATATATGATTGGTGTAAAACAGCTGCCCGTTGAGACATTTTTATGCTTGTGGCAGAGAATGCTTATTTATATGTCAGCTGATAAGTTCAGTTATTATTCTTGAAGTAAAATGACCAAGAATGCTGCTTCTTTTGATGTTTCTTTTTTTAACACTTGTGAGAATGAACTTTGAAGATTCAATATGAAAAGTAAAAATAACACGCAGTCAAAATTGGGACCCAAATGAATTTCACAAATCTTATATATGATGGATACTGCAGTGATAGTAATTTGTGTCCGGACTTAGGATCCATATTGTGTTTTGAACTGTAATGCAGGGACCATAAGCCACATGGTGTGTAATGCACTGACTGGGCCATAAGCTGTATGCTATACTCCTGGTATGCTAGGTGTTTTATATAGGTCAAAGCATGCTGTATGCTACCACACTTGAGAAGATTCTTGCTTTAGTTCAGATTGAATGAGTGCTTGTTGGCAGCATGTAGCAGCAGACTCTTGCCAAGTAGAAAGAGCAATTTTCTTTAAAAAATGCAATGACAAGGAACATTTAGAGGGAATTACTGTATGTAGATACTTGATGGTATGTCCCCCCCCCCCCCCAACTTGTCAATTCTGACAACATTACAGTAGCATAACTAATTATCTGTCTGATACAGGGACATGTAAGAGATAGCTAGAAATAGATCAAAAGACCTGGAGTGAAACTGAGTGTTGAGGAAGGGGTGGGGTGGGGCACAAAATGTCTACTGGGCCTGAATATTTTTGATGACTGGTTGACTGATTTGATTGTCAGGTTTAGTGTTTTTCTTGATTTTTACTGAGGGGTCTAAGCATATCTTTACCCACTTTTTCCAGCATTGGCAGGATTTGATTTTATCATGTACTCCAGACTCTTAGCTGCTATTAGTAACAGAATATGAAACAACTGGGCTTGTCTGTAAAGGTTAATAAAACTAATTAAATGATTTTCTGTACTAGATAATTAGTGTGTTCATTGCATGTCTATCATTTTTTTGTGGAATGGAATGGAACTGTTTTCCACTTTCTGACATGCAATATGTTCTCATACTGAAGACAAGTATGCACTAACTACTTGATCACTCACAAGGCATGCTGTAACAGATTTCTTTAGGAATCATGCTGTGTCAAGGTTACATATTTTATCCTTTTGATATTGAAACAATGCTGCTTTATATTTGGATAGTTCTTTACTATAATTATATATTGATTTTCATTTTAAAAGGTCTTTTAGTCTTAAACTTACAGGCACACAATGTACAATAGACCTTACGTAACAAAAGAAAATTTTCTTGGAAATTTCAGCACTTTTCTCCTAATCACCCGAAAACTGGGTTCCCATGCCTAGCTCGCTTCATCTGGATTGGTTTAACTCCCTGGGGAGTCTCGCTAATTGCTATCAACTTAACTGGCTTAAATGTCAGTCACCCCTACCGAATCAGCTTGGGGGTAAAGATAATTACCCCTAACAGCTTTACTAGGCATGACAGACATTTAAGCCAGTTAAGTTGATAGCAATTTAGTGAAACTCCCAAGGGAGATAGATCGATCCAAATATCAGTGGGAATGGTCCTTAAGTTATACCATATGTAAATGGTGCTCACAAATTAATTATAGTCTATAAACCAATTTTACAGTTTTTATTTTTTATTTTTGAGATGCCCTCATAATGGAGATGGACAGTGGCGAATTTCACTATTTTAGTGTCGCCTACAACACCAGGCCTTTTTTGGCCTGGTGTTGTAGGCGATGGCTTCTAGTTATCCAACAAGACTTGGTGATGGCTTCTAGTTATCCAACAAGATTGGTTTCTGGCTGTTAACTTCTGTTGTACGTAGTTGATTTCCATTAAATTTGCAGTGATGTGTTTTTATTTGAGCACCTCACTCTTTTCATTTTCCAATTTTTTTACCACGGGTAATTTGTCATTTATTTGCATACTTCTGACTGGATGTTGGTAAGCTAAATCATGTAACCTACATTGTTTTCTTGTTAACTTCTGTTGNTATTTGATTGATTGTCATCAAATTCTCAGTGTAGGTTTTTTTATGTTGCGTGTTTTAGCAGGACACATCTAAGTGTTGACTTGGAGGCATCCAGCAGCTATATCCAGTAACCAGCAGAGGCATCCAACGTTGGTGTGTGATTGTTATATCCCCCCCCCCCCCCCAATGAGTTGGGGGGGGGGGGGGGTACTGTTTTGTACTCTTCCTTCTGTGTGCATGCGCCCTACTGTCTGGATAAATTCTGCAAGTAAACAGTTTGTCTTTTTATGGGAACAGTCGCCATGTAAAGGAGATGTCGGTATCCCATATGGCCATATGGAAAAACCTTTTGAGGATTGTTTTCATTTTGACATGATAGATTCCTTATGATCATAGGAAGGTTCCTTTCCAAAATTGGACACATAGTGCATGTGAGATGTTTGCCATGGAGTTTGACATGATAGATTTCAAAGGAAGGTTCCTTTCCAAAATTGCACTTGTAGTGCATCCTAGATTGCTGCCATCTTGATTTTGGCCTATCGGAAAACCTCCTGCCTATTCCAGTACCATCTGGCCTCAACAAAAGGTTTCCACCTTCGCCATGAGGAGGGTTACAGCACCATGGCAGGGGTATAATTAATGACTGCTCCCAGTCACTGTATGTCTAGTTAATTTCTGTTACTGATTTGCTGTGAATGTACTGGAATTTGATTTCTGAAAAATTATAACTGCTCCATTTGTCTGTGTAAGTTTTTATTTGTTGAAATTCATTTAATTACATGGCTGGAGGCAGAAAAATCAATATCACTCTTTGACTTGCTATCTCCATCTCTGGTCACTGGCTTCAGTGATCTCCTACCTAAAACACTTGGAACCATGCTTCAGTTATCTTCTTCATCATTACCCACTGTGACCTTCATATTAGATATACATTTAAGAAGCCATCAGCAGGGGAGGCCAGTGGGTGGATTTGTTTAGTTCCCAGTTCAGTGAGACTAATATATTTTGAATGTCATCTTACTTAAGGTTTGCCTGGATACTATGTAAGACTGGGTTCCTATACCTAGATCGATCTAACAAGATTGATCCATCTCTGAGGGGTTTCTCGCTAAATTGGTTTCAGCTTAAGTGGCTTAGATGTCTAGTACACCCACTGAAACTGCTAAAGGATAATGATTTGCCGTCATTAATTATACCCCTGCCACCTTGCCGTGACAGATATCTAAGCCACTTAGTTTGATTTCAATTTAGCAAGAATCCCCTCGGAGATAGATCGATCCAAAGTTAGTACGATAGGGTCCCTAAGTAGTTAAGAATATATTGTTACACTTGTGTCAGAGAGTTCGTGGAAATGGAGCATTGGAAAAAGAGGGTACAGAAACCTAAAAATGTAACAGTTCACATGGAAATACAAATAGTGAATTGCATTATATAAACTATGTGGAATATACATTTATAAAAGAAGTCACAAATCTTAAGCCCTGACTGGATGCTTTTCCAAACCCAAGGGCACCAGCCATAACTGGATTCAAATATTAAGATGACACTGTGTTCAGTGTAACTCTTTTTCAGTCATTCTTCACCAACTTATCAGTTATTTAATTGTGATTTGGTTGAAAGAAAATAAGTTAGCCCACCCACATGTTATCAACATCGATTTTTATTTTGAATTTGCATTTAAGCACAGTTTTTAACTTTGTGAAATTGATTTTAAACATCACTTTTGATAATTGCAGTTAGCCTGCTGTGCTGCATCCTGCATATGACATTGAAGTTTTATTTTCTTGCAAAACCTTTATAACATGATCAAAATAAATGTAGAAGGTCCAGAAATATCACAGTAGAGTATTTAGGAATCAGAATTTTATTTTAATGAAATTTTGGAATAACCACAGGAATGACAATAAGGCTTCGTTCACATGGAATGTCTATTTTCTAAAAATCTATTTTCTATTCGCACTATCTTATGATCACGGTCTGTGCCCTGAATATCCCGCCGTGTAATTACTGGCAGCGCGAGGCAGTTACTTATAGTAACTTATAGTAACTGGCTCGCGCTGCCAGTAATTACGCCGCGGGATATTCAGGGCACAGACCGTGATCATAAGACATACCGCGAATGGAAAATAGAATTTAGAATATAGACATTGCATGTGAATGAAGCCTAAGTTATACTTAGAACCAAGGGTTTTCCCAGCAAACCATCCAGCTGTCATTTGGACGGCCGCCAGAATCACTGGACTGCCTATATATATTCGGCGGCTGGAAGGCTTATGGATTTTTTGGAAATGTGACAGCTTAAAGCATACTTGGACTCCCTGAAATTTTGTAGGAAATTACAGGTGTTAATTTTGGATGGCCTGTACCCCCAATCCTGGGAAAAGCCCTGCTTAGAACAGATTATACTTAGAACTCCCATTTGTACTAAGATTATGAAAAGTAATCCACAGATCTGAAGCTTTTGAAGTTTAAATGTATATTATTTAGAACAAATGTCTTTATTTCATCGGTTGAATAAGAGAAGCTTCATGTGTCTCAGACTTAGCAAACTGTGTATAATGTGTTCATTTTAATATGTTCAGATATGTTTGATAAATTATATTTGCTTATTGTGACTTATAGGACATGTTTTCTTCCAGATAACAGTTGCATGATGGAATCTATCAATAAGCCTTTGGCAGATGGTAATACCAATGTGGCTGATAACTCTGAAGTGGGCAGGCACTCAGAAAGCAAAGTGACAGATGAGGTCAAACCTATGGTTAAGCAAAAGGAGAGCCAAGAAACTGACCTTGTTGAACAATTTGTGCAGTTTATCAGAAGCACATCTCAATCGGTTTCAGAACCAGTGCCCACTGAGGAAAAAAAAGCAACACAGGCTTCAGGCATTAGTAGTGGTGTTATAGGAGACTTTCAAAACCCTGCATCCAGTAGCGGGTATAAACTTGGAAATGAAAATTTTCCAACAGAAAGTGAAAAGCCTGATGAAGAAGTAGCACCAAGTCCTTTCAAAGATGTAGAGGTTGAACCTGGAAGTGCAGTCAATATAAGTCCTGGGAGAGGGCAGGAAAACAATGTTTCCTTCACAGGTGCCAGAACCGAGCCATTGCTACAAGTCTGTCAGACCTCAGAAGATGATGGTGATATCACTATCATCGAACCAGAAGATGTGGCCTCCAGCACCCAGAAAGATAATGCTGGTGTCAGTATTCCTGAGCAAAAACCAGAAACACAGAGCCAGGAAAAAAACACTGATATTCAGGTCACAAAAGAGCAAGCCTATGGCACAGGATCTAGTGCCGAGAAAACACATCCCAGTAATTATAACAAATATTGGTTGAATATTTTACAATCTGGGTCAAAGTTTCAGGATATCAGCTGTTTCAACATACCACCCCCTCAAAAATCTGCACCACAGGAGCTAAAAGAAACAGTTTCAAGTGCAAGTCAATTAATACATCAAGGTCAGGGTTCTACTCCTTCACCAGGGACCAACACATTGTCTTTGCAAGTTTCTGGGGACAATATTGCTGGTCTCTCTTTGAGCAGTACTGGCCATCTTGCTTCTGGGGAAAAAGAAACTGTATCAGATACTCGTGCCTTAGTTGTTCCGCCTATGCCTTTGATTGTCAGCAAGCCTAGTTCAAGTACCAGTCCTTCAGCAGCTGTAGTGCAAGGAAAATCAAGTGTCCAAACAAGTACACCAATTCCCAAAAGCTACCATAAGCAAAACTCCCTTGTTTTGAAATGTAATATTGTGAACAATGCTTATGTTTGTGAAACCTGTGGTGCCCAGACAAAGGACAGGCGATTATTTTACGTTCACGTATGGGGACACCTTCACAAGAACTATTTAAGGTGCACACATTGCAATTTCCCCACACTAGTCAGTGGTAATATTCCCGTTTGCTCACTAATTACAAATATGCTGGCTTCACTGGACATGGAGAAGAATAGGAGGAATGCAACAAAACTGGTAGAAGTGAATAATGCAGATTTACCACAGATTAGAAATAACAGAGCAATTGATGCCATCAAGAATGCTATGTCTGTAGCAGATGCAATAAAGGTTAACTTTGTTATTCCCAAACAAAGTCCTTCTTTGGTAAGTCCCATCTTATAAAGTTTTAGTTAGATATTTAAGTTGCCTAATAATGTCAGCTGGGCGGTTTTTAAGCTTGTTAAGTATTTTTCTAGCTTAAATTGAAATTTGTAAGATGTGAGGAGATAAGTATTTTTCACCAAAGATGTATGTGGGAGGCAATGTTGGGAGGTTCACTTTAACCCATGCAAGATTGGACATATTCAAGATTGTGTATGCTGCATCTTAACATCAATAGCTCATTTTGATGAAGGAGACAGAATATAATTAAAATATTTAAACTTTTTATGTACCGTATCAGAATCGATCTAAAAATAGACGCTGTTGCTTCCTTACCTTACTTAAATAATAGAATTAAGTAAAATAATTTCCCAGTATGCTTACTGTTACTGCTTTTGTATAATTTGCATTTTGGTATATTAAATTTTTATTTTTGATATGAATATCAATTTCAATAACTCCCTTGACATTATGATTTTATAATGTAAATTTAAAATATTGTCTATATAGTTTTGGTCATTGTTGTTCACTTTGTTAAGAATAAAAACAGACAGGCAAAGCAGTTTTAATGTGGTGCTTATATGTTGTTAAATAAAACCAACCCAGCTGTTCCTTATTTTCTGTCTATCTCAGTACAACTTACCCAGTACAACTGTTTTATTTTTGTTTAGCCCACAGTGCCAAAATCGTCTCAGCCAATGACAGACGCAATCAGTGTAACAGGCAATAGGCTTCATGGCCAACAGCAGACATCTGATCAGTCCAAAACAGTAACTGGAAAGCAGAACTCTGGCATAGCAGGTATGTGTAGCACCAAAGCTGTTTTTGAAATTTTTTGGTTCACTTGGCATATATATATATATATATATATATATATATATATATATATATATATATATATATATATGCAGGAGGAAAATTTAGCTATCTACTTAAATTTAAAAAACATAGATTAACTGTGACATACTGGGTAGAGCTAGAAAGGTATAAGCTTGACCATGGCTTTGGTAAGGGCAGGTATTTCTTTCACAGTGGGAGATGCTTGCATGGAAAATCGGACTACTTTGTTCCTTGTTGATTCTTATTGGGTCTTGTCCTTGATCTACATGTTCAATACCTCACTTCATTTGTGATTCCTATTATATCCTATTTGCTTGACAGCATTAGCATGGCTCTGAGTAGTCTTTTTAAAGTGTCTTCTAATAAAAAGTATGTGAGTCATTTTATCCTGTCTTACTTGCACACCCTAATGCTCACTTCTCATCCAACTTTCTTTAGTAAGATGTGAATCTTTTCAAAGCAAAGAAAGAACATTTTTACCAATGAAAGGCTCTTTTAACCCACTAAATCCTATTTTGATGATGAATAAACAGCATGGTAAAACCAAAAACTAACAGCTTTGATTTGGGATCTAAAGATGGTACATTTGTTAAGAAGAGATCTCTGGGTAACCATTACTTATCTGGTGGATTTTTATTCCCCAAAATGATTGATTGATTTTTTACCTAAAAGTATAGTATCAGGCACATTTATTGTCCTGTGCTTCTAAACAGCAGCATATGTTATGGATTTGATCTTCATCTGATTTTTCCTTCTTCCATCACTCTTATAATACCATAATTACATCATAAACATTTCCTGCCCTTAACCTTTATGTACTGTCACCTTCAGGGCCCCTGGTCCTATTTATTTCTTAACTTGCTGCAAATAACAAGATAAATTAATAAATGTAACTTGGCTTTGTTTTACCATGTGACAGTTTGGATTGGTTGAATGCGGCAATATTGATTATTTACCTGTACATATGTGTGTTTTACCAGATACGTCAGAGCCAGTTGCAATTGACCTGTCAGTGGACAGTGATGAGGAAGAAGGGAGACTTGTTATAGCTGAAGGTATTTTGAATTTTTCATTTTTTTTTTTAATTAATAGAAGATAAAAATACATGACATTTGATACAAGTATTCTCTGAAGCGTTTCAGTTTCAAGTAAATGATTCTGATGACTTGTTTATTTATTTATTTTTAATGTCACAAAGACCATTAATTATTGTTCAGAGATGAAACATATTTAGTATCCTTATGATTAACAATAAAATTTTATACCTGTCTAGAAAAATCGGTAATATGACATAAAGCCCTTCTGTGTGCGAGCATGCCAGTAATATGACAATTGGGAACAAATATTTTAATTTTTGTCCTTATCAGTTATTAAGAAACCACAAAGTATGGTAAATATATATTTTTTTAAAAATAATATTTAATTGGCCCTCCAGTAGATAATACCATGTATTTTGGTTATAAGTTTTTTAAAAGGATATCCCAAAACTAAACTCTTCATTTCTGTTACAAAAAATGCTAAGATTTTTCCATTTTGGTTCCCTTTCAAGTGGATTCTGAGGTTGAAAGGCAAAAAAATGATCAACAGACATCCAGCAAGGAAGTTGAAGCAATTCCACCAAGTACGGAAGTAGTTGTAACCAGTGGTAGGGATGTTTCTTCAGTAACAGACAGTGGGTTACACACAGAGTCTCAGCCAGTCAGTGAGACCACAATTGTCACACCATCACCCCAAAAGGAAAATAATGATGGCCTGCCCATCATAGCTGCCACTTACAGTTTGAATGGGGCAGATTTTGGAAGCAAAGCAGAACAGAATGAGCTGACAGATTCAGACACTATACAGACTCCGATATTGGGTTCAGCAACAGATTTGAGCCATCAGCAACAGTGGGATAAAGAAACAACTAATAGTGAAGAGAATGGGTTGCCTGACCTGGTTGAGGAACATATAGATGTAGTTTCACATGATTCAACTAACCAGTGCCAAAGTTTGCGTGAATTATTTCAAAATAGTAAGATTTCCCAAGGACTGCTTGAAACACCACCAGACTTGGATAAGGGCCCAAGAATAATGAAAAGAGCTGAAAGAGAAATGCAGGGCTATGGAGATAGTAACTTTGTCCAGCTTATTTCAGGGAAGTCCAGTGGCATGACTTCAGGGAGACCAGCTACTACAACTGAGAAAGTTTCCTCACATAACACACTTGGTTTCTACCAGTGTGGGTTCACCCAATGTGCTTTCTTCACAGATGATGTAGATGGCTTCAAAATGCACCTGAGAATCAAGCACTCCAGCAACTTGTACCCTTGTGCCTATTGTGACACCACATGTGATACAGATGATAAGATCATCACTCACATGAAGCAGCACATGAAGAGAATGACCAAGCGTCTCTACCAGTGTTCTTTCCCAGGGTGTAAGTTTGGTTCTGATTCTGTGGTAGCATACAAAGCACACTGCAACAGTCAGCACCCCAATATGTCTGCCAGTTGTTATTACTGCAAGATGGAGTTTAACACTTTGGAAGATCTAGTCAACCACCTTACTGCCAGCACTGTAAAATTGATTGAATGCCCTTACTGCAAATTGGTATCACAAAGTAAGAAGACATTGATCACACACATTAGCACTGAACACCCTGCAGAAGCTAGGAAGATAGTTGTGAGCACATTTATCTCCTGTATTCAGAAAAGACCCAAAATATTGAAATACAAACCTCCACAAGCAGAAGTTATGAAGGAACAGAAAGAAAAGGTGGAGAAGACCATGAAAAATGATGCTGGAATGGATAGTACCCCAAATGCTGTAGAAGCTGAAAAAAATTTGAAATGCCAGCATTGCCCTTTTAAATGCTCTAGTCAAAGCATTTTAAGCTCTCATGAAGACATGCATGCAACAAAGAGCTTTATTTGTACTCTCTGCATGTATGGGGCAAACTCTCAAGAATCTTTTAAATCTCACATGAGTGCATTGCATCCAGATCAAATGAACATCAGAATACGAATATATGTTTGCCAGGTGTGCAGTTTCCAAGCTAACCATGAAATAATCTTAGACCACCATTTTGACAATTTGCACCCTGCTGATGAGGTGAGATATGAAGTTGTCAAGAGGCTGTTCAATTCAAAGCCAGTCAGTACAAGCTCCAGCACAAATGTTTGTACTCCCCCAGCACCTCGGGGGGTGTCCTCAGGAGGCATAAATCAAGATCCTAGGCCAACTGTAAAAGAGATGGCATCGCGTGGTTCACGTGTATTGGAAGCTGATGTTTCTAAAGAATTTTTGTCAAATTGTCAACGCTTTCTGTGCCCACTTTGTCTTTTCAACACTGATCTTATCAAGGGCTTCAGACGTCATATGTCACAGCACAAATTTGTTGATGGAAGCAAGCCATTCATTACAATGTATGCTTGTAAGTCCTGCCGATATAGCTCAACTCAAAAAGAGCTAATTGAAAGACACATTAAAAAACAGCATCCCACTGGTGTTGTAACAATAGGTTCAAGCCCACTATTTATTGGACATTCACCAAGCAGTCAGAAAACTGGGATGGATCCAGATGGAAGCAGCCAGGCATCAGAGATGGAAGCGCTTCTACAGGAGTCTGGAATATCTGTCATTGACAAATATCACTGTGAGATCTGTTCATTTAGTGCTACCTCCAAAGATTTATTGAAGCAGCACATGGTTAAACACAACACATCAAGAACTAGCCAGAAGAAGACAAAATCAAATATTACAAAAGACCAAGAGAGGTTGATAGAAAACCAGGATTATGTAACCATTTGTGTCAAGAGAACTGTATATCAGTGCCATGAATGCGAGCACTATAAAACACGTGCTCAGCCAGTGTTGTTTTCTCATCTCTCTTATACTCATGGCATTCAGAAACCAGAATATGGTTTTCACTACAGTAGTTGTGAAGAGGCTGGCAGTCTTTATCGCTGTATGAGGTGTAACATTCATGTGGATTATCAGAGCAAAGGCATGCTGACCAATCATTTCAAAGGGAATCACCAAGAGTTTCTAGAAAGACCACCAGCTGCCCAAAAACCAGTGCATGAAAAGCCACTTCCCATTTCATCTTCAAATGAAGGACTTCCTACTGTAGGTACAAAAGATCACACAACAAGTAGCGGAGAAGTATTCTGCGTGCCACAGGAAAGTGTTTTCAAAATGCAAATTGCTTGCCCAATGTGTGAGTTTAGAAGTAAAGTGCGCTACAATCTTTTGCGTCATTTCAAGAAAGCTCATCAAATGGAGAAAAACTCAAATGGACATTGGGTAATACCAACTAAAGATGGAAAAACGGGTTCATTGCAAGTTGTGTCTGTATGCAATGAAGATAATGAAAATTGTGAAATAAAAGATGATTCCCAACCAACAGCAAGCCTCAGTCAGACCGAAGAGAAAGGAAAAGAACAGGAGAATTGGAAACTGGTAGATAAAGACTTGTACCAGTGTCTCCTCTGTGAATTTCAAAACAGAAGGCCAGATAAAATGAGGAGGCATTTTAATTATGTACATGCTGGCTTAAAACCATATCATTGTATGCATTGCGAGTACAGCTCTGCTGAAGGGGCTAAAGTTGCCAGACACTGCAAGAACCAGCATCCTACCAAAGGCTGTAAAATCTTTCGATTTACAGATGATGAGTCTAACACTGAGTCAAAGGGATTAATCCAGTTCAAGTGTTTACACTGCAGATTTCACAGCAACACTAAGGAGGATGTAGCAAAACATTCAGAAAATGTCCATGTAGGCCAACCTGTCAAAGTATTGCAAGGTTATGAGGTAACAGTTGGTGAAGATGCATTGCAGCCTGAAAAATCACAGCCTCAAGTAGAGTTTTTGGCATCAGATTCTGTACACTGTGGTTTCAAAAGAGTAGAACCTTACCTTCTCCAGTGTGATCTGTGTAGCTACCAGTCTGAATATATCACAGCTATGAAACGCCATGTACTCACTATTCATTACAAGATAAAACCCTTCATGTGTGGTTACTGCAAGTGGAGCCATGCAGAGAAGTTTATGTTGCTGCAGCACATGCAGAAATATCATAAAGACAAACCCCCTCTCACAATCAGGGTGAATGTCAAAGAAGTTGTTAAAGGACAGGTGTTCAAAATTGTAGCAGAAACAAGGGGTGCTTCAGAAACTGAAAGTGTGTCAAGAAGCCCCAGTGTGACCCAAACAGAGACTCAGCCGCATTCAGCAGGATTACCTGAACCTGTCAGCAGTGCCCTGCCATCAGATGATCAGACTGAAATAAAAACTAACTCTTTCTTAGGAAATGAAAATGTAGCTACAAGTTCGGAGTCGCCTTTTACTGACAATACCAAAGAAACAAGTGCTGCAGAACTGTCTGGCGATGACCTACAATCATCAGCATTGACATCAATAAATGAGAATGACACCGATGCAAATCAAACACCTAGCCCTTTGAAAGACCAGTCCACTTCAGTTCCAGAATTTGTGATCAAAGACTCACTTATTAAAATCAAGGCAGAGCCACAGGATCTTGAACAGTGGAGAGAGAATGAAAACATACTTGAATCCTTACAGAATTATGCAGGAGGAACATACACTACAAAGAGTAAAGGAGAAAATGTGACAGTACGACAGGTGAAAATTTACCGTTGCCTTTATTGTGATTATTATTCCTTTTACAACAGGGCACACGTGTTGCGCCATACCCGCACTTGGCACCTTGATTTACTGATGGGTTTAGAACATAAACCAGATGACACCAACGAAGAAGTCCAGCAGCAAAAGGAAGAGGCAGGTAAAAGAAATGATCCAGGCAATGATGAAAACTGCTCAGGTGAAGTAGATTTCTCCAAAGTAACAAATCAAACTGAAAGCATCATGGATGATTCTACAAACAATGAAGTCACAGTACAAGAGACCGTTGAACAGAACAAAGGACCTGTTGCTGACAGTATTGGAGATGAAGCAAAATTAGAAGCTCAACAAGTTATACAGAGTGAAGAAGCCCAAATCAACAAATCCCCACAAAGCACCTCGGCTTCCATACCAGATTTAGCAAAAGATTTAACAAAAGCCAGCAAGGATGCAGATGCTGATGTTGAGTACAATGAGTTATATTCTAGCAAGTTGGTAATAGATACATCAGATGCACCAGATCTGGGCTCTATGGAGTTGTCTAAAAAAGATGAAGAAAGCAATGTTGGAAAATTAGCAAAATGCACCTCTGACACGGGTGCAGATGATTTGCCATCTAATACTTTTGCAAAAGAATTACAAGCTACAACAGCAGATGGTAACAGTCAGACTGTGAGTACCAATGCAAAAGTCCCTGAAACAAATTTAGGCAAAGAAACAAGCATAGATGCTGTACTGGATGAGTTGTCTGATCATACGTATCTTGACAGTAGTAAAATAGCTGAGGTTCCAATACAGCAAGATGATAAAGAACAAAGGTCACAGTTGGTCTCTGGGCAAGGCAAAAGGGATACAATACAGTCAGGGAGTGCTGAAGATCCAAATTATACAGTATATACTTCCAACATAAACTCAGTTGGTGCAGAGGCAGAGATGCCAGCTAATGGGCAGGCTTTACATGAGGAAGGCAATGCAAATATGCCCAGTGTTGAGATGAAAAAAGCAACAGCTGAAATTCCAGATGTTAAATTGGACAGCACTCAAACCAGTGTCATCAGTGAGAAAGAGGAAACAATTAGTGAGCTTGTTGATAAGCTGATTAGTACAGCAGTTGAACTTGGTGAACAAAAAGAAGTTGAGAACAATCCAGTTGAAACAAATACTGGAGGCTTCAAACAACCCTTGGGGGTAACCCCAACAATTTCCAAAGATGCAACAGCAGTTGAAGAAAATTCTCAACAAAAGCAAACAGAATGTAGCTCAACTGCCATGGATATAGGGTACCATACTTTAGAAGCTGAATCCACTGCTGCAATAGAAAATATTCCAACATGTCAGATTTGTGGCTATGCCTCGTCATCTAAGTCTTCAGTACAAAGCCACTTGGAGAAGCATCTACCCTCAATGTATAAAATTGAGTATATTTCAAAGTCTCCTGGTAAAGATATATCTGCCAGAGATTTGGTAAGCCATATGCCCAAAGCACGCCTAGAATTATCCCCAAGACGGAATAAATCCCCAAAGAGTGCTAGCAAGCCAAAGTTCCATGATGACAGAGAAGCTGTCTCCCCAGCAATGTTTTATTGCATGTTTTGTGCATACAAGACGAGACATACCAAGAGTGATGTCATTAAACATACAAAAACACAACACATGCAGTATTTGATGGGTTTAGGTAGTAAAACATATGGTGGAAAAATAAGCAAGCACAGCACACCTCTTGAAACCATGGACCAGCCAGTAGCTCCAAATATTTCTATGCAACTAGATGCAGTTGTTACACCTACAGAGAATGGGAACATAGTGGGGAGTAATGAAGAAACTGTTAACTTGGCTGAGTTTGCAAAGGAAAATTCACCAAACAGTGCTGGGTCACCAAAGGATATGAACATTAAGACAGTAGGTCCAGGTGCAACCTGTCTGAATGAAGAGAATGGATATAAAGATGAGAAGAGAATGTGTCGTTTGTGCCAATTTTCTTCACAATCCATAGCATCTATAAAAAAACACATTACCACACATCTTCAGGATCTAGTATCATCCACTCAATTTAAGGGAGAAACAAACATTTCTCCCTTGTTCAATTTATCTCTGATATCAGATGGACAAAAAGCTGGTGCTGCACCCAATTCTGATGCAAGTATGCAATTACAAGCTGAAGCTGCCCCTAATTCGGATGCAAGTGTGGAATTGAAAGCTGATGCTCAGCCTAATTCTGATGCTAGTGTAGAATTAAATGCTGCTACTAATGACTGTAGTGAAACACAAGCAATACTTGAACAACCAGAATGTTTCTCACCAAGTTCAGGTGCTAAGGCATTTAGTCCAGGATTTTGGAAAGGGAAAATTACAAAATGCCTATACTGTGACTATAAAAGTGATCATAGACACAATACCATGAGACATGTACGTAGTAAGCACATGTATGCCTTAATGGGGTTTCCTCAGATTGATTCAATGCTTACCAATTCACCTAGTGATGTTGAAAGAAAAAATACAATGGTAAAAGAGCAGAAAGACAAGATTCCTGTTTGCACCATTTGTAATTATTCCACAAAGGCTCCAATACTTATGAGAACACATATCACCACTTACCACATCCCAACACTGTATGAGATTGTTGATACACAGCAACTGACGGCAGTAAATTCTACAAGAAGTGATGATACTCAAAAGACGGAAGCATTGGATGATTCACTTTCCACCAATGACAATGTTGAAAGTGAGACACAGGATCAACCTTCAAACCTTATGGAAGTTGATCAGATGTCTACTAGAATATCGTCTTCAGAGGTGTCAAAACATGGACAGGCATCACCAAGTGCACACAAGGGGAAAAAGATTTTTAGATGTTTATATTGTGAATATCAGTCCATGTATGGAAGAATAGATGTCCTTCGTCACTCAATCAAGCACCATGTTGACTTCTTGATGAGAAGCATTTCCCCTGAGGTTGAATGCAAAGTGAAGGTAGAAAATGCGGACAAGAATGATGAAGTTTCTCACTCTACAACCAAATTTAAGTGCCAGATTTGCGATTATGTCTCAGAAAATGAAGACAAAATGTATCTGCACCTCAAAGATAACCACCTTCAATCTTTCTATGCAGTGGAACATAACAAAAGGGGTAACGTTTCACTGGCAGGTAGTTCACCCACTAAAGGCACTACTTCACCATTAAAAGGTGCTACTTCACCCTCCAAGGGAAGTCGATTGAAAGCCCACCAAGGTGGTTCTAGTCCTGGTTGCAGAATATTCAGATGCATGTACTGTGATTACTATTCATTCTATGGAAGACAGGACGTCATACGTCACACTCAGAAAATTCATATGTCATTCTTGATGGGAGTTGCAGGATCTTGTACCACCTCAAAGGCTGTTTCTGATGGCTCTATCGAGGCTGAAAATGAGGAAATGGGGAACACCAAATTCACATGTCAGGTGTGCCTTTTTTCAACAGAAGACAGAGCTTTTATGCAGGACCATATTCAAGCAGAACATATAATGTCTTTATACATTGTTGAAAAGGGCCAAAATCGTGTAAGGCAGAAGAAAAACAGTTTCTCAACAGTAAATTCATCAAAGATACAGAAGATATCTACTCCGACTGGGAAACCTGCACTTAAACAGCCACCAACACAGAGGGCATACAAGTGTGTGTACTGCAGTTACACGTCTGTCTACTGCAGTGCAGATATCTATCGCCATACCTTGAATAAGCATTTTGGCAAAATAGCAGAAAAACTGACAACCTCAACAAATACAAGTGAAGTGGGACCTACTGTAGATGAAGATGTCTCTTACAAATGCAAGCGATGCAATTCAATATTTGATTCAAAACAGTCTGTGAGGTATCACATGAAATTTCATAGAAGTACATTTTACAAATCAATTAAAACAACAAATCCAAAACATACAAATGCAACAAATTCTGGAAGCATACCTTTCAACTCAAATGATGAAAGTGTGCTGGAGTACACAGGAAATGATAAATCTGAATGGTTTTATAAAGAGAAAAGACCCAAAGAAGCTGCGGCTCTGTCATCAGTTCCAGAAGAAAAGAAAGAGCAAGTTATTTGGGCATGCTCCTACTGTGACTTTACCACTCCTTCAAACAGGACTGTTTCCAGACATAAAAGGTCATTTCATGATAAGGGTTCAAGTTCAAACCGAGTTGAATGGTTTTCAGCAAGCTGTCCTTTTTGCCCTCACACTGCTGCAGGGGGAAAACTACCATATGAAAAGAGGCAAGAATATATGCGAAACCACATAAGAAGGGTCCATATGGAGGGAGGAGAAGATGAAGGCATAACACTGTTCAAAAGGTCACAACAATCTAACAATTTTGAGTGTTTTCTTTGTGGCTATAGCACTCCAGCTAGTAGAGGAATTGTTAGAATAATAAGTCATTTAAAGGTGGCCCACCCAAATTTGTTGAACACTTCATACAAATGCATGTTTTGTAGCTACTCCAGGAGACAGCTAAAATTGCTGAAATTGCACATGAAGACAAAGCATCGTGGAAAAGCACTACGTTTCTTGAAAATCACAGGACAGTGTGAAATTGATAATGGTAAAAATGCTCATACTGATGTGAAGTCCAATTCTTTTATTGGGAACTCTGACAGTGAAGTTGGAGTAGAGTTTACCCCAAAGGTGAAGGAACCTGGAAAACCACGCCTTGCCAGAGGGGAGGACATTGATGCTCTGCTTTCATCACATAAAGAGACATTGAAGAAAAGCCCTGGAAGTTTGCATGCTTGTCCAATTTGCTCCAAAACTTTCAACAGCCGTGACACTCTACACAAACACTGCAAGCGACATAGCAGTTTTCGTCCTTTCAAGTGTGGATATTGTAGCTTCAAAGCATTTTCACGCTACAGTATCAGAATCCACAGCATTAACATGCACAAAGGAAAAGAACTGAAAATTAAGCAGCTAGTAGAACCCTCTAAACCTGAAGCAAACATAAAGGCAACAAATAATATTGCAGTTGGGCCTCCCTCTTTATCATCAGCACCATTAAGTCAAAGTCAAGAGGAAAAATCAGCAGAGAAGGTGCTTCATTGCTCTATGTGCCCATACACTACCAAGAATTCCAAAAACATGAAAGAACACAAGTACATACATTACAACCATAGACCCTACACTTGTGGACATTGTCCTTACCGAGGAAGAACTCTGGAAGCAGCTAATAAACATCACGCTGAAAATCACCCAGGGATGCCAACAGAGATTTCATATGTCAAGACATCCCTTCTCTCAAAATTAGCAGATGAGCTAAAAAACATCCAAAAAAGTGAGAAAGCAAATAAAGAAGGAGTTCAATTAAAAGATCTCACAGAACAAAGTGGTTCATCTGCAGGAGAGACTAGGGCAGGAGTAAAGGTAACTCGTAATGAGGATGGAATGTATTATTGCCCTTTGTGTGACTTCAAGTCTGGGTATCATAGTTCTATAGGACGGCATGTCATGCAGATACATCCAGAGAATTCCCCAAGAAGTGCAAGTATTCCAGCTCAAAGAAGACCTAGCAGCTCTGAAGTGAGCAGTGTCAAAAGTGATACAGAAAACCATGATAGCAAGGGTGCTCAGTATGTTTGCAGTCTTTGTAAGGAATCTTTTCCCAGAATTGACCGTGCAAGATGGCATGTCATGAGGCATTTATCATATTATCCAATGAGGTGCTCTGAATGTGACCATAGATGTCAGACAACAAATGGCATGAACAACCATATTCAAAAACAGCACAATGGAAAGGGAACTCTTGTGTTTGATCAAGACCTGCAAAAAGAGGACTTGGTGAAAAGGAATATTACAGAGACACAAAGCAAAAAATTGGTTAGTTTATATACTTATGTCTGCAGACATTGCCACCACAGCACTACCAGAAGAGAGAATTTTAAGACCCATACTATGCAACATTTTGGCTATAAACCTTACTCTTGTGGGATTTGTAAAACACAATTTTGCACAAAGAGCAACACAGAAAAGCATGCTGCTAGGTTCCATGAAGGCAAAGACCCAGTGGTTATTGAAAAAAAGAATACCTCTAAATGGAAGCAAGTCTTGGAAGAAGTAGATAGGTGTAAAAAGTTGGATTCAAACACTTATCAAGGAAGCAAAATGGGGGCAGCAGTGCCAAAATCTCCCTCAGCAACTTTAGGCTTACCTTTAGGCGTCAAGCCCTTTGTTTGTAAGTTGTGTGGATACAAGACCAGAAAAGGCAGCAAGCTAAAAGCTCATAGGGCTGGTCATGGAAAAAGCGCTACATACCAGTGTGCATATTGCAATGAACGTCATGATAAGTTCAGGATTCTGAAGGAACACCTGGTGGCTATACATCCACAACTCACTTGTGCCATTAGGGTAGTAGCTGCCAAGAAGACGATCACCTCCAACACTTCTAGCCAGCTTCTAAACAAGCAAGCAGCACTTGACAACACACCTGAGGATTCATCAGAAGAGTCATCTGAAGATGACAGCAGCACAGTGATCTCCAGCACTACAGGGGCATCAGTTAGTACAGCAAGTACAGTGGATGATTTGCCTTCAGCTGACAAACCCAAGAAAAAAAGAATCAGACCGAAGCAACCACCCCCCAAATCCCATCTTTATTTTTACTGCACAGAATGCCCTGTTAGAATGAGGACAGACCATGTGCAGTTCCATGTAAATAGATCTCACCTGGGTTATGAGCCATATAAGTGTGCTTTATGCAGTTGTACAACCTGTACCAGGCCTTTGATGCATCTACATTTCAGACAGAAGCATAAAGGATTAATATCAAAGTACACATATCGCATAGACAAGCAAAAGGAGGCTGATATGAAGAAAATGGTCGACCATATAAAACAAGGTAAAAAGATTGAGGTTGAAGTTGGAAGTCCAAGGTTGCAGTTCTTTTGCCAAATTTGCGCTTATAGTGTCAAAAGATTAGACGTCCTGCGTCACCACTACATGTCCTCTCATCTGAATTACAACCCTGTTAGATGTGGCTACTGTAGCAGGGAATCAAGCTCAGAAAGAATGCTAGACCGGCATTTTGAAAAATCTCATTTTGGGCGCAAGAAACTGATCAAGTATCAGAAGAAGAAAGACCTTGAAACTTTGCTAGATGAATTTATGGAAAATGCAACCACTCCAAGGTCAGTCTCGTCTGACTCCAAAAGAAAGGTTGCTGTACAGACCATGCTCAATATAGCACATGCCATTGAAAGTGAGCCAGATAAGCAGACAAAGACACCCTCATTTGATGAGAACCAAGCTGTTAATTTCAGCAGTGAATCACCGCCAGCAAAGAAGAATAAACTAGATGAGGAAGTGGACCACTTGCACAGTAAGGCAAAAAGTCTGGTTAGAGAAAAGACAACTGGAGTACCCAACGGGTCGAGGAAAAGACCAAGACCTGAAGATGAGGGTCACCTGCTTCCTCTGGCAAAAATCAAAAAAGAAGAATTAGCTGGCATTGAGAGACCCCCACCTCTCTCTTTCCATTCTCAAGTGGAAAAATGCACTCTTAATAAGTAAGTCAAATTTCTTAAAATAGTTTGCTGTACAGGAGTTGAATTAATTAGTTAAAAACAAAAATGTTGGTAAATTATTGCACACAGTAAATGCATTCATTTTATTCTCCGTAAGTAGATGAGGCTATTAAGTTTTAAGATTATACTGACTGTTAAAAATACAAAGGTGTTTCTTCAAGAAAACATTTTTTTTTAGTTATGAGATGGAGTTACCTTTCACACCAAAAGGAGCAGAGAGACTGTATCATTGTCCACTGACAGTATGCAGTTATGTCACCCAGATAATTGGTCATATGAAACATCATGCATGGGTTCATTATGGAGGCAGATACTTATGTGGCATCTGTGGTATTGTCAATTCACAGAAGTAGGTTTTTTATCTACTATTGAAGAAGTAGTTTTTTTTTTTTTCATGCATGTGACTGTTGGCTGATTTCCCGACTTTTTGGGAATCATTTTTTTAGAATGATACAGATCAGCAGTAAAAACGGAAGGGGGCAAGTGTGAACCCCATGCCAAATTATCAGACTTATTCACTTAATGGGAAGTCTCATCTCTGAATAATAACTTAAAGATGCACTGCATATGTTGTTTTTTTTATTTTTGGGTAAATGATGAGCCTGGTCCTATAAATGTAAACTGGGCTCTCTTATGGGTCATCTTTCTGTGAGACGTGTGATTTCAGCAAAATAAAATATTGGCAGAGGCAGAGATCCAATTTGATTTTTTTTTAATTTTATGTTTTAATATGCTAAATCTAACTATGTTAAGCTTTGCACAAAGTTATTTGGTGCTAAATTGACTCCATTTTAAAAACTTGAGCAGTGACATTTTGAATCAAGACTGCACATATTAAGTACGTTTTCTATCTTATATTTCAGGCCTAAAATCAAGCATCATATTGAGGTGGACCATTATGGAAAGGATGCAGAAGAAAACATTGCCGTAAGGAATCCCAAGGTCACCAATTTGTATTATTGCTGCCACTTATGCGCATACGCCACCATGGACAAAACTACATTTTCTGAACATTTTTCAACTGTTCATTGGCCAAAACATGGGCATTGTTCCTTTGACCTAAAAGTTGTTCTCATGTACAGACACAGATGTGTCTGTACATATAGCCATCATCTGCGTCTGTCGTCGCCATGCACTTTTACCAATAACACGATAAGTNAAAGACTGCATGCAGGAGTATGCAGAACAAGGTGACTACAGCATGTCCAGGTCTCCGGCTCTCTCTGATGATTGTGAAAGTCTTTCAGTAGATGTGGGGCATGCCATTGGTGACTTCTTACAGGAGCAAGGGCTTGAAGATGGAGAGGAAGATATTGAGACCTTAGTGTCTGCAGTTAGCTCGAAAGGAACGCAACTGCCAACTGCAAAGAAGAGACCATTTCATAGTAAGTTTCCTGTTTCATTAAAGTTCAAGAAACCACAACCAAAACTGAAAACCAACAAAGGCAAGAATGTCTGTAAGAAGAGTACAGGTGCAGGGTTTACTAAGACCAAACAAAACCAGCGCAATCTCTTTGATGACATTGGTTCTTTGGAAACTCAGCCAGTCATGAGTGGTAATCACCTGTCACAGGGTCAGAACCATGGATCTCTAGAGAAATCTCCATCGTCAAATCCTGGAAACTCTGTTAATGCCATCAAGATCAAGTCTGAGCCATTGGATGCCTTCTCTCTCCTTTCACAAACTGTGCCATCAAGCTCCAGTGTGAATGATGTGCCTAGCCAAGTGACAGTTAAAACGGAACCAACTTCGGATAGTCAAGGAGAGTGCAGTTTTGATGAGGAGAGTGAAGACTGGCTTGTGTTAGACTCCATTTGATATAGTAGACACACAATGGAGCAGTGTTATATGTAGTCACCCTTTGGGAAACTGAAGAGTTTTTGGGAAGAGGTTTAAGGATTTTAAAAAGATAAATGGAAATTCACTTCCTAACAGTTTGTCACATAAGTGAATGAAAGACTATTTAGGTAGTTATCAGGTTTTTCATGCACTGTTTGGACAAAGCATTACATTTTAAAACTTATTTGAAAACATCTCTTACATGTTTCCAACTATGTTTTCATATTTCCATTTCAAACTAGAGTTTGAAGACCATATTTTAAATGATAAAAACTTCAAAAATTAGGCAAAATGTCTGAATACAATATAGCTGATAATGCTTTCACCACTGCAAGTGAACAATTTGTATTTACCTTAATTGTATTAAGTAGTAAAAGTGAATTGGGGTAAAGTTGTTTTAGATGAAATTACCCTTTTCTTTATAAATATTAAGAGTTAGGCTTCGTACACATGGAAAGTCTATTTTCTAAAAATCTATTTTCTATTCGCGGTATCTTATGATCACGGTCTGTGCCCTGAATATCCCGCGGCGTAATTACTGGCAGCGCGAGCCAGTTACTTATACAAAGCTGTAATCAATTCTCAGCTGTACTCGCATTCTGTAAAATCTAATCCGCATCGCTTGCCATCAGATCATGACGGTTGCACACGTATCTGTCGTGTGTATAGCTTCTTCATCTTCGTTTTGTTGTTGCACAAAATCGACAAACACATTCAAAGCAACTGCGACGCGCATGCGTCAAGGTATCAGAATCTCCTCCGAGCACAGTCGAGAATTAATTACAGCTTTGGAAGTAACTGGCTCGCACAGCCAGTAATTACGCCGCGGGATATTTAGGGCACAGACCGTGATCACAAGATATACCGCGAATAGAAAATAGATTTTTAGAAAATAGACTTTCCATGTGAACAAAGCCTTACAGTGCCTTTTCAAAACATCAGCAGACTTCAGTGTCCAGCATTTAGTCAATAGAAGTACACCAAAGCAACATCTTTTAATTGCATCATTGTGAGAATTGCATGTGCCAGTCAAGCCGAACTATTGTCCCAGTTATTGCAAGTACTTAAAATGTTTTTGGAAGACATGAAATTCAGTAGTATCTGTTACTAAGGTTTTTTTTTTTATTATTTTTAAAACCATGTTTTACAACAAGATGCTTTGAGACTGTTGTGTATATTTTATAATTGTTTCAATAAAAATTATTTCCCTTGGTTTTTTTTCTTTCTTAGATTAATCAATATCTGTTTTAAATTGCTTTAGGTGTACAAAAACTATAAAAAATGTTTTATTAATACGAAAATAGTTTAAATTTTATGCTAAAAATTTTGTAAAGGCCCTTCTTGCTATTTACCACATTTTTTGTCATTGTAAAATGCAATGCGATGAGACCATTGCAAGGAATTGAGAGTTAGAGCTGGTGAAGTTGATTTCAGCTGTAGAGTGTGTTAGTTGAGCGTGCACAATATCGATCGATAAATACGTTGTGAAGTCGCACGAGTCTTGCAGACCGTACGAATGATAAATTTTTCTGCCTATTAACTGTCCACACAAATCTATGAAGAAAGAATACATGTAACCAGCCCCAAAAGTAGAATGAAAATAAGAATTTATACAACGGAAAAACGCCCTGGAACATTGAGACCACATGCTTGCAGTGGAAAAGAGAAATGGGTTACAAAGACCGTGCGCCCGTTTCCAGACATTTTATCTAGAGAAGGGAGGTCCATTTCTAACAAAGCTTCCCCCGAGTTCTGGGTAAATACATTGTGTGGTTTGGTTGCAGTAGGAGATCAAATATAACATGTAAAGAGTTCATTTAATTGTCTCTCCCAAAGACTATATTTCACAGAGTTATCAGACCCTCCAAAGACGGGTCAACCCGGGGTGTGACGTAGGCCTATTCTGTTTATTCAGTACGTAGGCGAATTTTTCTTCCAGCGAAATACTTGATCTTAAATGCATTTTTGCATTTACTTTTCAATTCAGGCTTGATACATTTATATTTTACCTTTTCTATTCTTTCCAAGCAATTTATCCACACGGGCTTTCCATATCAAAATCTGTTAATATTATTATTATTCAAGATACAGGAGGTCAATCTTGAATAAAAACGCGTTTCAAGGAACATTGGAGTTCTAATCATTAAACACCGTTTGTATAGATGTATTCTAGTATGTCACGTATTCACTGAAAGCAATTCCATTTCGCAACACACGCCCCCCATCCCCTTCTATTCTTACAGTGAGGTCTTGGTATACCTGCCCTTAGTAATTTTTGAGATCTTTTTTTGACAATATGATGCGTTTAGGGATACAGCTATTGCGACTTAAGTCAAAAGGGATAAACTTTAGATGCGGAATATTTCACTTAACTTTAAACTATTTTCGACGACTTGTGGGCCTACCTGACATTCCCAGACGCTTTAAATGTATCAAGTGATATCTTCCATGTCCACATATTCCTGCAAAACTATAGCAGTTGTTTTCAATTCAGGAATTAAAAGCTATGAAAACCACTCAAATTTAAGTGAATAGCGTCGATGGTTCCAAAGGAAATGCACAGGAAGACATTGCATTCTAGATAACTGGTAAATCATTAAAATTAAACCATTAAATCAAAAATTGGATAAAACTTCGAATCCAAGTGCAGTGATGGGTTGAGCAATGATACTAGTATGTGGGTATTACCCTCTGCCCAGTCCGCAGGATTTATTATGTGGACTTTTCTCTGACGCGAGTGCAGAAAAGTCCATCATTTAACTAGAGACATAACTGTGAATATCTAGTGAAAATTCATCTGTGGCCCTGGTAGAGGGTACGTTAGTAGGAGAATATTGCTTTTCCCCCCGAGGAAAGTTTATTTTTGCGGGTTAATTCCGTGGAGAGTATCCAGGCCTACCCAACTACCAGACTCGGCACCGAATGATCCTGAATTCACCGATAAATTGGACCACACTACCCGTTTTCAAGGTGTGTGTCAGATCGCATTACACAGTATCAGACGCGACACCGCTCTTGCCTAGTACGCGATGTGATAGTGACGATTCTCAGGGGGGGTTGAAAAGCATTGCATCATCACTCAAAATTTGTTCAGGGTATGATACTGTGTAATGCGTACTGACTCACACCTTGAAAACGGGTAGTGTGGTCTGATCTACCGGTGAATTCAGGATCATTCGGTGCCGAGTCTGGTAGTTGGGTTGGCCTGGTATCTGTACAGTAAAAACTGACATTTCATAATTTGTGTTAATAATGGCATCATGACCACATTTATAAATTGGATATATCAATAATTTTATTCGCCCCATTTAATACAGAGTAGGGTTAATACTGCAGAAGGTAAAGAAAACATCTATTTCGATCGTTCAAATATTACTGCGAAGGGAGTCACCGTAACCGTTGCGAAGCAAAAATTACATGCCAGGACCAATTAAACAAATCCAATGCTACATGTAACTGTTTAAGGTAGTGGTGCTTATGCGCCACATAAACCCTAAATCTGCCGTAAATCCAGACAGCTGCCAGGCAGGTGGTCTTTTCCGTGGTTTTGTTGACGGAAGTGACGTCACAGCAACCTGCATGATTCTGTGCAGTACTGTGTCGCTTCAATATCATCGTGTAGCGAGTGGACTTGTCACTGACTTGTGCTGAATATTACGTGTTCCGTTTAAACAACTACATTTGTACATTTTTGTGGATGTGATGGGTAAGTATGTGACAAGTGTTAAAAGCTCAAAAATGTGTATCCTAACTTGTCTATATAATTTATCCAATGCGGTCGGTTTCGTCGGTCTTGGGCTTGGCGAAGATGTGATTCATTGCGAGGTCTGTAAATATTGTAATCCAGTGTAGATCCGCTGCCTTTGTGGTCAGTAAACTCTTCATTAAATGTTGTGTTCGTATATGGTAATAAGCATACCATGTCGGTATATATATAAATTTGGAAGTAAAGAGCATAACTCGGCAAATTTACAATGGGAATGTGTACCAGTACTTCCAAATGTCTTTTGATTAATGCTTGCAAAGCACAAATACATTATCACTTGTGATCCTAGCTGTCTGGCCTCTCGCCACCTTGCTTAAACTGCTGAATGCCTCCGGTTGAATGCTGTAACACATAAGTTCAGGGTACTGTTTCTAGTGCTGTGTAAGACTGCATTCCCACAGATTTTAGATCGATCTATCCCCTTGGGGAGTCTCACTAGATTACTGTCAGCTTAGCCAGCTTAAATGTCTGTCCCGCCTACTGAAAGCTATAAGGGGTAATTAACTTCCATGCGCGCTCGGCTGACTGCAATTTAGCGTTAACCCCCACAGCATTAGGTCGATTCAGATAGATCGATCTAAATCTGTGGGAATGCAGTCTAAATCATATAGCCTACTGCAGTCTCCCAGTAGTAGTTTATGCTGCATGTACAATTTACTTTATGTTATTGAAGAAGAAATGGTGACAATCCAACACAGGCCCTCAGACAGGTGGGATTCAGGGGGTTTCAAACAAACTGCCCTTTTTGCCATGAAAAGGTTCGATCTGTAAAATTTGAGCTACAGTGTAGGTACAGGATGGTAAAAAATCCACTTCTTGAGAAAAAGACACCCGGCTCTCACCCCCTGATATGACTGGCTACAGGCATTCAACACCTCATTTGTCATACAATCAGATTACCAATGGACAGTTGTTAATTTTTACATTTATTTGTAAGCATTTTCTATCTCGATGTGTAAAGTTATTTTGTGAAACACAGTCCAGATGGTGGTATAGTAGTAATATCATGTAGATTACTCTCTTAAGAAATCGCATTATATTAATTGTCCTTAAGAAGAGATTACAGGTGATCCCATGATTGATTGTCGTTAAGTTGTCAAATATAAAATATTATACTGATATCTATTATAACAGTAGTACTGTACCACCCTCAAAAATATAGCAATTGAGCAAATTAGCATTACTGTGAAAGTTGCTGATTTTTCAAGGTCTGTTTTTGTCAGAGGTTGATGGTACATTGTACATTTAATTCTGAAGGTGAAGGCATTAATATAGAACCATTTATAGCTGTTCACAGTTATTAGGTTTTGGCTTAGAAAAGAAAAATATAAGTGCTAAAATTGACGTTTCCATTAAATGAGATGCATCCTATTCAGTTTAATTTCCCAGTACAATGTAAGGTATGAGTAATGGCAAGGTAGGACAATGTAATATTGACCTGGCAACTTGATTGTCATAAAAATCTGCATTTTTATTGACCAAAGATTGTTGACAGAAGAAATCAGAATATTATAGTAGAGGCAGTGGGTCATGCAAATACACATGCATACATATATGTACACAACCGCTGGTTTTTACACTTTGAAATACATTGAGTTTAAGTTCACTAAAAGATAATGGACTGATTTTTGTATCGAAATAAACCAAGGTTTGTCATATTGAATAGTAAATAAATACATTACTGAAGTGTATTTTGAAAACATTTAGACTAAATTAGTCTCAAGAAAGAGCATCCAAATTCAAGATCTGATGACAGATGTAGAGGCTCATAATGGTTAGGAACAGCTTCTGAATTGATGAATGATGTGAAATGAGTTTGCAAACACTGTTATGAATAAATAAATAGTCTCATGTCATTATAAAGGATTAAGGAAAAAGTATCAAAAATACAGCCAATCCATCTCTAAGAATATTTCATACCAATAATTCATCTCTTGTGCCTTTCAGCTAAATCACTTTATATACAAAAGGTCTGCCTTGAATACTAGATGACAATGCCATTTCTGCCTGTCAAAAGACATCTATAGCAGAGTCATGATTTGATGTTACATTAGGTATCAAAAGGGCGAGGTCGCCCAGTTTAATCTTGTACCATAAGTGCAATGTCCAAAGACTGACTAGGTACAATGAATTAAGGTTCAACACTTACTATAATGATGTGTTCATTTTGTCAGCCTGTGTGACCCAGGGTTGAACCATGAAAGTATTGGATACGCATGCTTAGACTTACCAAAATTGATATGCTTTGTTTATGCAGTGTATTGAGTTGCAATCCATATGAATAATGAAGTAGATAAATACGGTGACTTTGTAAGTGTTTTATTTGCTTTTTACACCCAACAGAATGCTTTGCAACTCTTCAGGTCTAAAGAAAAAAAGCATGCAAGTCTAAATTGCTTGTCAGAAGATTCAGCTGATTCAGTTTCCTCGGTTGGTGTGGCTAAAACATAATAGCTCTGTGGTAAAATAAAGCTGTTTGAATAAACATAATAAGGTAATAACGACCATTATTTATGTTTAATATTACATCATATGTTTAACATACTACATGGGCAAACTATCACTGATCAGAAGTTTCAGTGTCTGTTGCCAACTGCCATGTCAACTGACTGCCTGCTGTACAGTCTCTCTCTCTCTTCATCATATATATATATACCTAACAGGCTATCAGAAGTTTAATATTTTTCTTCTGCAGCAATAACACAGTACTTTTATCACTGTCCAAAGCAGTTAGATTTTGATTAGTTATTTCGAACATGTCTATGACGAAATATGTTCTTGTATCAGGTGGATAGAAAAAAAGAATGCTCTCTGCTCTCGGTTCAAAGAAAAAAAGAAGCTGAGAGCAAGTATATATATATATAGAACCAACAAATCACCTTTTCCAAGAGATTTCAGATGAAACTGTTGAAACTTTCTTTAATTTGATTTATTTATCATTGAATAAAAGCACAAGTTCAGCAGGTAATACCATGGCATACTAGTAAGCAAAATTTCGTTAGAATATATTAACAAGCAATAGAATTGGAATATCTTAGAACATAAATTTACAGGCCACTTCAAATTCATGTTGTGCAGTCTAACAAATGTAAACTACAGTATATAATATGGCAAAGACCTCTTATTTGGCACCAACAAAAATATGATCAGTTTTTATGCGATTCCTGTAAATGCACAGATATCTTGGTTTGGTGGAGCTTTTCCGATCAATCTCACTAACTCCCTGCTTCTTTGAAAAGCCAGGGAAATGTTTTGTCTGGTTTATTGTGTAGTGAGATGATATGAAAAAGGGCCTGTGTAGTCCTTTGATTGAAATCTGCATTTATGATTCTGTTCATTTGTATACATTTTATCCAATGTGTCTATGGCAGATAAGGATTGAGTTAGTGTTACTTTTTCAATGTCATATTGCAACATGCTGGTTTGGTTATGAACAGGTAATTTATGAATTAATTGCCCATATGTAGACCACAATACATTTTGTACATAAGTCGGGGCTGGGGAATGTAACTCACAGTATAGTATATTGGAAACCCACACAAAATGTTGTTGGTATTTATTTATTTATTTATTTATTTATTTATTTATTTATATTTTCTTTTGGGTAAGATGTAACTGTAATCCTTTCAAGTTGAAAAAAATAAATTTTGATTCTGTTAATATTATATCACTTGGTGGACATTTTATTACTGATGCCAATTAAGTAGGTTATGTTTTCACCTTCATTTGTCTTTCTGTTTGTCAACAGGCAAACTCAAAACGATAAAAATGAATTTTCATGAAATTTTCTGGATATGCCATAAATAAGCTACTAGTAAATATGAAGTGATCGCCATCTAAATCAAAGAATTTTAAAACTACTTCAAATTCATCATTGCGAGATAGGGCCAATGACCTTCACCTTGTGCAGTGGATGTCTCTCTCAACTACCACAATTTATCAGTGCAGGATCCTTGGCGGAGGTCTGTGCTCTCTGAGTGCTTTTCTAGCATGACAAGATTTTACTGTTTCGTGTTTATAATGCATCTAAAATGTTTGTTTGTTTGTTTTTTTTAACAGAAATGTTTAATATGACCCTGTCACCAGTCAGTTGAACTCTCATTTAGATAGCAGATTGTAATATATCAATCAGTTCTCATTTAGATATAATAGGTCTTAATTTTTCATTTTTGATTATATTAAAGGTTTGGTTAATTATTGAAATTTCAACTGAGGGTCTCGTATACTTAAAAAAACAGGAAAAGAACTTTATTTTCATCAAGGACTAGATTTAAAAAAAAACAAACAAATGGTGAGTACATATTGCAGATTTGTATTTTTTTTCTCTAACAGTAAAACTGCCCCATTTAAGGGTCTGAGTTTCTCCTTGTGCTTGCTGTCTCCATTCAGCATTATTGCAGATGCACAAACTGCAGATGTGTGCCATAAAGAGGAAAGCCATATTCAGTATAAAAGCAAGAATTTGATTAAAAATTAATAACTCTTTAAAGATATCTTAACCTGACTATTATGCCATGATTGCCTCAAGAGAAAAAGCCCTACTTCTTTCATGATTTTTTTATTATCAAATTGATTTATTGTTCAGTATATTTTAAATGAGAAATGATGATTATTATTTTTTTCTAAAAAGATGAACAGGGATTATAAGCATTTTATATTTTGATATACTAGATACACAATGGAACATTGCTCTAAATTGATTAAAAGGTGCTGTTGGATTTACAATCGATTGGACTGGTAAAATGAGGTTAGCACATTAAAAAACATGATAATTTGATAGAAAAATGCTTCTTTAATAAATTATTGTATTATAAAGATGTCTTTAATAAATTCTATAAATGATTATTTTATTTATTGATATATGCCAGAGGGACAGATTCAAGGTGTAACAAAAGTGAGACATCATCAGGTATGATATTTAACAAGATTTTTGACAACCGAACATCTAATCATGGATGCCTATTCAACTTGTGCAGATATTCAGTGGCCCATATACCTGTATGTAATATTGTCCTGTATCTCAGGGATCTAGCAGAAATCATAGGTCAGGTAGGGTTGTAAGCACTTTGTGTAGAAGAACCTGTAGCCAATCAAAGCCATAGGTGTGCAGTTGCAATTACGTTTAATTGGTTTGACATTTGATGACAATATCTGTCTATCAAAAGCATCCTCCCATGACACTTGTCCCATAGAAATCGATACTTGTTGCATGAAATTATTAAAAGTGGTAATCATTCTGGCAAAATCAACTATGTATTGAAAAGTTGCTTTAATTTTAGTAATAAAACATATCAGATTGGAAATATTTTTGAAAGTTTACACTTTGCACTAAATTTTTATGTAGAAATGTAAGAAAAAACACTTTTACTAATGGTCATTAGTTTGATATTCGTAGTTCCTCCATCATAACGTTATAGACTTTGTTGTCGCTGTGTTTTAAAACTACACCTAGTGCACATAAAGCAGAAAAGTCAGGAGTTTGCCACAATATCCTGTAATCACCATAATGTTTTCAATTTAAAGCATTAAACTCATAGTGCTCATATTGATTTTTTCCTTGTCATTTGATTCTCATTGGGTTCAGTGCAATTCGTATCTCAACTTGTCCATTATTGCAACGTGTGGAGGAAAGCGGCACAGTAAAGTGCAGCATTCTGGTCGGAAACACGTTTATTAAGAGCTGTTAAAAAGCACAGCTATTTAAAGCAAAGGAGACAATTTTAGAGATATTTTCACAAGGTAAGTGTAGGATAAGGTAGATTCATATGGCAGACAGGATATCAAGATGGTGGATTATCCTGAAGGATATGGTTGTTAATGTAACTTATTAAATATGATATATCTGCTAACAGCCTTTAATCCATGTATATATTGGTAAAATGCATTCAGGTTAGAATATATATGTACAGTCAGTCAGCTACTCATGTTATAAGCAGGCTAACCATACACTGTTACTTGTACTTGCTTTTACCAGACATGCTGAAACTGTCGGTCCGATTGGTCATGACCAGGAAAATTTGTCTGGACCAGTAAAAAATTTGACTTGGTCGGTCCACAGGACCGACAAGAGTTTTAAGAACCACAATTTTGAATTTACAGTCATCATTCGACATACTTCACTAATAAAATTATATAAAACCCAAAGCATTTCCCCCTATTTCAAACATGTCACATTCACAAACAAAGTAAGCTACCTTTAGAATCGTACTGGTAGTATCTGTCTCAAACGAATAGGTTGATTTTCGGTCCGACAAAAATCCATTTGGTCCGGCAAATTTTTTAATACTGCCGGTCCAAATGTCCGGCCATTCTGAAAAGTTTTCAGCATGTCTGTTTCACTTTGTGTGATAATAATAATTGAAAACAAACGTTTTAAAAAGGACATACACTGTGTCTGGACAAATAATCATCCTTGTGCAATTTCCTGGAATTTTTATTCATAAACATTAAAAGGAAAACCATGTTACTTATCATTCTCAAGCTTATCGGAATGATTCATAGGACTTAAATGTTGTCTGATTAAAAACCAGGCTAATAAGACCATTTTCTAGCAGATATGGTATTTCTTGAATGTGAACATTTCATTTTTCATAAATGGACCTTTTTGTTGCGAGTTCGAAGTTCCTGTGGATCTGAAGCCCTAATGATAGTTACATTTGCTAAATGTCTACAATGATAGCAGAATATTATGTAAGATAGATGGTGATTATGCTTTCAAGCATTAATGTGTATTGCATCAAAATTGACAAAAAAAAAAAAAAAACTTTTTTGTGTGCTTTTTCTTGTTAAATTGTTCATTGTCAACATTTGTAGACTGGAAAAGGTCACTGCTTCTCTCAGGTTTTTCATTTATATGCTTGTGTATTTGACAGCTTTGCTGCCTTGTCATTATTGTCTTTTTCCTTTAAGGTTACAGACACAGAAAAAACTCCTCAATTAGTGACTTTAAGTACATGCTTTGGATAAAAGAGGAATCTTCATTGTTCACTTACTAAAACCCTTTGCACTTATTAGAACACAAATGCCATTTTATCAATGATGTCATAATTGCATATTTGGGGGTAAAAATTGTGAAATTGGTTTTTCAAATTTCTCCTTTACCTGAGCACCCAAGCACATCTTTTTAATGCCAATTCAATGACATCATTATGTACTTTAAAACTCTACCAGCGTTTTTTTTTTAATAAGCCTTTGTATTTTTAATAACTTCTTTGTTCAGTTAAGCATTGTAATAAGGGGCTCATAACCCCATGACAAAAACATTAAAAACCAAAATGATGGCATGGGATTGAAGCTCATATACTTGTCGTCACCTATGCCAATTTTTATTTGTGATGAGATTTTGTTCAGGGATGATGTTACGCCCACTACCCATTATATCTCACCTCAAAATAGAAAGCTATTAAACTGACAATAAAAGCTTCAAGGTGTTATGCTTACTAGTAAGCTTTAATTTTTTTTACAAGCACCAAATACTCACTTATCATACTTACTTCACCAAAGTTATTGACGGCTGTCTTTGAATTGGATTAGCTGAAAATATAAATTTCCTTCTTAAGTTGGGCAAGTCTGCATCCAAAATGAAGAACAGCATGTCACTTTCATAGGGTACTGCTTGAGTATGTCTGTATGCCTGCACGTACCAGTACACACACGCATACACACACATGCGTGACATCCTTTCAACTGCCTACATAATTTTTACGTAACTACCTACACTAAATGTAAAAGTATATCAATGTGTCAGAATTGTTTTCATGTATGGATAAATATAGTTCTAAGTCTAACCCATGTTGCAGTATTCATGTATCAGCTGGCTGATAACTTCGTTTTTTTTTTTCTTTTTTTTCAAAAAATTCTTGTTGTACGCATATTTGCTCAGAAAAAAATGTGAATATTTAGTGGATAAAATTCTCTGCGACCCTGGTAGAGGGTTACTTGTACCTACCACGTATGGTATGTAGGTATCAAAGTATAGATGTATTTTGATATATCATGTAGAATCAATAGATTCGGTGATGAGGCCTATATGTAAGAATTTCCAGGATGTATCAAGAACCAATTTCTAATATTAATTTGTCTCAAAATGTACTAAAGTGCTTTTGGATAAAACATTAGAAGTATGATTTGATATTGAGGAACTGGTATTTGATCAACTAAATCCCAAAATATATCAGCAGAAAATTGTTATCGCTATGGATTAGTCCTGGCATTGTGATCCATTTCAGGAACCATTTGTCACATTTAATGTCATATCTTGACACATTTAAGTAGACTAGTGGCTGCTACATGGGTGTATTTTAGGTGCACTTGATCAAACTTATACTGCATTGCATTTATCAAAGGAAAAGCTCTCAGTCTACCAAAATAAATTAAATTTTGATGTACTGAGTACTCCTAAAATATAAGTCGAAAGTCGTATAAGAGACCAGTGGGAGATAATAATGATTAATAAGATTGAGTTGCTTCTAAGTTAAGACTGGTTTTCATTTCAGAAGCTGATGGTTTAGTTTCCAGAATACACAGTGCAGCAGTAAGGCACCAGTGGTTGTGATAGATGACTGTGACAAATAGAACTGCACTGCAAATGGGTATTGACATCTGATGCTGGCTTCAAGTACAAAAGGCTGAACTAAACCGGTGGGGCTCATATTTGTTGTTAACTAGGAGACAGGTAGGAAGCATTTGGTAGGTATAGTACATTTTCTGATCTTGGTGAAATTGTTTACTACTAGTAGGTTGTGGGTTTTATTTAATGGCCAGAGAAAGAAAGAAAAAATTGGGTGGAGGGATAGCAGCAGTGGGTATATAAGGAAGTTAATAACATGTTGTCACATTGTAAACATGAACTATAAGACAAGATAAGAAAGAAATACACAGTGCTTGTTCCATATTTAATCCAATGAATAAATAGATTAAGCTAAAGTTAGTATATCTATGGATGGGCATATTTTGTGGTAGATTTTGTTGCACATGACAATATAATAGATAAGATAAGACGGACTGCATTCAGAAACTTGACTGGTTGAAAAGAAAAAAAAATTAGTATTATGAAAAGGTTCTTTGCGGTATTGAAAAAAGACAATATCATACAATACATGTGTAATTAATATTCATGTCACCTTCATCCCAGTTCTCATGATAATTGGATAATGTTCTCAAATAGACAAGAGAGGTTAAATCCTTCAAATGTATGATTTTGTTCATGCAATACTGTCTCAAAGGAGTTCACAAATGTTGCATTTAAATGTATCCCAATACACCCCAAAGTATCTGTATGGTCAATAGATNAGAGGGTATTACATACAAAACTTTTCAAACCTTCTCTTTGTTGTTACACAAAAAGTCGTGAAAGTTCTTGAATTTTTTGTAAGTAGAATCCCCGTGTAAAACTTCAAAGTTTTTACTTTCTTTTTCCATAATCTCATGCTTGAAGTCTTTTCTTAATTTTTAGGCCCCGTACTATTCTTCAATTTTTTCTTCAAAGCTTTATAATGTTTTTTTTTTCTCGCATTTTTTACCCCCGAGTTCTATTTGCCGATAGTTCGTTATATCCGTTGTTTAACTAAGCATTTCTGTTTTTTATTAAAGCACCGTTGATCTCCTAATATTATAGTTTTTCTTCCCGCCTTCGAAATGTTCAGCGCAAATGCGGTGCCCTGCTTTTGATCCAAACTTGCTATATTTTTCTTTCTTTCTACCATATTTTTCATTCTAACGGGTTTGTTGGGAACTTATTAAACCTCATGTGTCGATCTCGCTTACTGTTATTGTAGTAGCGGGACAAGAAGCACGTAAACCCAGCCATGGTTTTAAGCACCGCTGTAAGTGTTTCGATGTAGCAGGGCTCCCCTACCCACAATGCAATTTCCATTTCCGGAAAAGATGAAAAAGGCTAATAGAGGTAATGTTTTAGAGAAAGTAGTTACCATTAATCCTTCAGCCAGAGGCATATTAAATTAATGGCCTGGCCAGGGGGATTTTATAAAATACGTATAATATGTGATAAATGGTAACAGATAATTTTCAACATTTGATAAAATATCCCTCATATTATTTTAGGTAACCAGTATCTTCTCATAGTTGACCAGCAGATAGAAGGCAAGTGGTCAGTTCCTTTGGCCATCATCACCATTGAGTTGTCTAAGCCTGCAAAAATGGGAGAGTTTACCAGTGGAGGTGGGATTGACCATTGGGTAGTTCCCAATGACCGTCAGTTAGCTCTAAGAGCCAGGTAAACTTGATAAAAAAAATGTTGACATAATGTTAACTAAATATCAGGCAGGAGGCACACTTTAGATCACCCTGAGCTTCAGAGATAACTTGAAACAAACCTCTACACTATAGCAACCCTTGTCATTTCAAGTAACCTCTGACCAGGTTCGTTAGGCCTGGCTCCCCGCCACTCAAATTTAAAGCCTTGGACTTATAGCAATATATTTGTTTTTCTTAAAACTAAGTTGTTAAATTTTCTGTTACTAATTGGGCCAAAATGGTTTTTGATAAATTTTAGGAAAGGAATTGGTTATCTGATAAAGCTAAAACGATATTGTTAGTAAAGCAGTTAGGTATTCCTTAGCCAGTGGCCAAATGAGATTGTAAACAGCAACAAATAATAAATTGTAATCTGTAGAATATTTACTCTATTTGCAACAGTGCTGTGCTTGGTTTGCCCTCAGATGACAATGAATAAGTTGATTATAAATACCAACAGTTAAAAAAATAATTAAATGAATATTGGTTCTTGCCTTTTGCTTCCTGAAACTTTATATCTTAGAACACTATCATAGTAGTTTCCTGTGGAACAGACTGAAAGTAATATAATCATTTGGTGAGCACATTTTCCGTTTGATAACAGTTTTAGTTGAAAATTGAAGGAGATTGTTTTTTAACCTCCTGGGTTTACTGAAACAATATGTTAGGTAACTCATCTTATTTGTAAAAAAATTCATCAAAGTAATGAGTTTTTCGCATCAATATATCCATTTATCTACCTTTTAAAGCCATCCCAAGTGAATAAATTCTCTTCAAATTGCAGTGCTCATTTCCTTCCTGTAATGTAGGATATTAACATTCATCTGCTTTCCAAACCGGTTTGTTTAGTTGATGAAGCACATTACATCACCTTTCCACCTGGCTTTAGAATTTGTAAGCAAGATCAAGATAAGTGCAGACTCAATACGTCAGCACATATATAGTGATTATCTGTATCTGTTGTTATTGCTTTTGGATAATGCATTTTGTTATGGTCACTTTGACTCTTATCATATAATGGGAAAGTTAGTTAGTGTACCTTGTATTACCCAAGCCTCTTAATAGTGTTCAAAAACAGGATATAAACACCAGGCTGTTGTATATTAAGCACCTTACTAACTCATTGAAACCATGGTAACTATGAATATGGTGCAATTTCAATGATTTCTCCCAAATAAGTTGTATTTTAGGTAAATTTGACAAAAACCACTCTGTAGATGATTTGTCATTTTTACTTGGACAACAACAAAAACAAAGTAAAAGGTTAACGTAAAATCTGTTTGTATGTATGGTTGGTTGATGACAAAATATGTCTGAAAAAAAAAGCACTGTCATTCACACAGGACATTATAATTTTGTTTCCAGAAGATAGATAACAAAAATTCCATAACACATACTATTTTCTTTATAAATACAAAGCATATTATGATATTGCAGGTTGGGCACAGGCTGGTCTGTCCATACCCACAAGCTTCAGACCTTCCACAAGAACCAGCAACTCAGTGTAGAGGAACAGGAACAAATTCTGAATGTCATACGCAGAGCAGAGAGGCTGGAGCTCATGGAACAGGAAAGGATTGGGTGCGTACTGAATTTGTATTAGAAATAAAGGTACAATTACAGGTTTATATTATGTTTCTATATATGTAGGTAGTTTTGCAATCCAGTTTTTCCCTACCCACTCAAAAAGAGAAGTGCTGGTAGTGCATGTAGAGATAGACTGTGGCCTAGTTTTACTTTCCAAATGGACGTGGGCTTCCCAAGTACAACTTCTTTTTTAACTTTTCATCAGCTTGTACCTTTCAAATACTTGATATTTGTTAAACTTACTGTGGTTTAGAAAGTGCAGCAGCATTTACAGAGGAAAAATGCAGAACTGGCTTAAACAGCCATAAGTCATTATAGGACCACTGCTGGTGACATACACATGCGTTGCTGCACAGTTGTCAGGGAGTACAGGTAGCCAGGAACACCAAATGTTTGGACAACATGATGTGGGGTTTCTCTTTACTGACAATTTGATATTTTCCTACAATGCAGCTGATATTTAGACTAAGGAATGATTGATCCAATGATCCACTATCACATAAAATGTAATACAGTGTTCACACACCTGTAGACTGCATGTATGGTAGGTGGGCCCACAATTCTGGAAGATAAGTCTACATGTTTTAGGACAATGATATAAGAATTTCAGGACAAAAAAGTGCCTATGTTTTTCATCAAGTTTTATCAAAGAATGTATTGCAAGAATATCTTAAAAAAGTAATTAAAGGATGTCTTGGTCCAAGTATATAACCAATTCTTTTTTATGTCATGATTACTTCTTTCAGGGTATTGTAAGCCTGTATTATCATCCAGAAATAAGGTTTTCCTGCATATAATTTTTTAATAATGCATCTTTCCTTGCATTGATTTAAAACAAAAATCCCCAGGAAGATATGAAATATCAGTGTTTATATTTCTTGTTATAATCTATTAGCATAGGCAACTCAAAGCTTTGGTCATCAGTTTAACATCTTTCTATTTTGAGGCAAGATAGCAATCGGTATGAGGCACATGTTCATCCCTGAACAAGATTTTATCATGAAAACTGGCATAGTTGACCACAAATCAATGGGCTACAATCCTGTGCTGTCATTTTTGTTAAATGTTTTTGTTATGGAGTTATGAGCCCCTAACTACAGATTTTCATTTAACAAAGGTATTTTTTTGCTTTATTAACAATAAAGTATCCTTAAAGGCATGACAACTCTTCATTTTGGTGGGAAGAGTGCCATAAAATCAATTTTCCTGGGATAAACAACAATCTTCCCATACTTTCTAATGGTTAATGAATCCATTCCAACATTCAAAGATAGGCTGTTTTTATGTACAGACACAGATGTGTCTGTACATATTGCCATCACCTGCGTCTGTCGTCGCCGTCGCCGTTCATGTCGCCGTCGATGTCGCCGTCGCCGT